ACCAACCACGTTCCTTTTCAAAATAGAGGTGTGCTATGCTTACGGCCTGCGTGGTTTTTAAAATTTTAACCTTCCTTCTTGCCAAGCTGTAAACCTGAAACTTTGCAAGGATTTCACAAACAAGATTGAGAACCCTCCTCATAGTCAGTAGCAAACTCCTGGCAAGAGGCTGTGTCTTCAGAGGCTGATGGGCCAGTTAAATGTTCAGTACAGTGGAGAGGTTGGAATGTTTCAGCTCCAGAGGCTAAGAGGGCATCAGGCCGGTCCTAGCCCAGCCATTCATTCCCCACCTCTGTGTCAGAACTAACATTCCATGATAAAAAGATGAAGACCTTTTAGAATGCACTAACTCAGCAGACCATTAGCTTCCACCACCCAGAAGCTAGGAATATCATGGGATAACACCTTGGGCCTGCAGAAAAGCTTCCCCCACATGCTGGGCTGCTTTCTGATGTCCTCAGATGTTTGCACCCTTGGAATTGGGTGTAGCAAAGACCCTTTTGACCCCTCTGACTGGTTTCAGATCAGTCTGAAATTCCACCCAGTGACCTCATACACCAGGGAAGAGAACAGAACGTTCCTTAGAGACCCCTTAGACAATGTAACTTCAGACGCCATCAAAAGCCTCCATGTTGTTTGGGCAACTCTGTAGAAAGGCTCAAATCCACACTCGGGTGTGTACTGCTCCCTTCTCTGTCTCTCTCTCTGCCCCTCCCCATGCCTGCCTCCCTCCCTCCTCCATTCCTCTTTCCCTCTCCACCTCTGTTAACTCCACATCAAAACCTCTTTAATAGACTCCACCTTCCCCTCCATACTGACTATCCTGAAATTCTCAATTCTTTCTACGGCAAAGTCAAGACTCTGGGCTCAGGAGATCTCTGAAAATGCCACAGGCTGCCCACAGGCAGCTGATGGGGGATGTCCTTCTTATTGGTTGATAAATAAAACACTGATTGTCCAGTAGTCAGGCAGAAAGTATAGGCAGGACTACCAGATGAGAATTCTGGGGAGAGGACTTAGAGAGTGAGCCACCAGGGAGATGCCATGTAGTTGCAGAACGAGTAACAGATCCAGGCATTCTCTGGTAAGATAAGGCCATGTAGAAATACATTGATTAGAAGTTATGGGTTAATAATTAAGAGAGAGCTAGTCAAATAAGAAGCCTGAGCCATTGGTTGGCCAAACAGTTTACAATTAATACAAGTCTCTGTGCGTTTATTTGGAGATGAAAGGCGGCAGGACCAGGCAGAATGAAACTTCATGTACAGGCAGCAACACAGAGTCACCTCATCTCCTGCCCCCACCATCCCAGTCACTGACTGCACCAACCAAGCAGCAGTCCTCAGGGCACAGAAGTGCTGTCTGCCCAGACCTAAGAACCACCACATGTACTTCACAGAGGAGCTGAAGAGAACACCCCCAAAGCCGTGATGTCTTCCACCCCCAAGAACCCATTCACGGGGTCCTGCCCACCATTCAGTCATCCAGGAAGGAGATCTGTCTTGTATGTAGATCTGAGAGATGAAGTCCTGACTCCAGGAATCCCCTCCCCATACAAACATGCACAGTGGTTGGGTTTCACAATCAGCAAATGACCCAGAGACAGTTCTGCTTTGATTTAATAAGAAGGGGGTTGCAACCGGCACTCAAATCTGCTTTTAGTCAATTTGCTGTTCACACAATACGCTACCAGGATGACCCTTTGTGTATGTAGCTGACCTTTGTCTGGGCAATCTTGTTCTAGCAAGAAGAGAAAACCCTCCCTTACAAACCATTAGCACTCAGGAGAGGGCTTTAATCCCTGCACTGACAAAGATGCTAACTTGGGAGGGGCCTAACACATACTGTCCTTTTGTCTGAAAGGCAGTTCAAACTCTGTTGTGATTACAGTTGAGTGAGGTTCAATTACTGCAATAAATATATCCCAAATTTCATCTCAATTGCATTTGCATTTTAATGAATGATTCTCACCTTCTTGTCAATTTGGCAGCCAGACTGGATTTATTAAGTTATTGTATAAACAGGGCATTCTAATGCAGGGAATTTAAATGCAAAATATATGCTCTGATATATCTGAACCAGGGCTGCATTATTAATTTGCCCCATCCAGCTTGTCTGAATACTCGAGAACCATGGGATGGTATTTTAGATCCTTCCCACTCTCCATCATGCTTGCCCTGCCCTCTTCAGAAATCAATATGTCTGGGCGGGCTGACAGAGCAAGGCATAAACCAGCCAGACCAAGTGGGCTCTCTACACTTCCAACCTCCACACACTGGGAATACACTGATTTGTCTGCTATTATCTGAAAACAGTAAAATTTGTTAAGTGAAAATTTCCCACATAGGCCATAACCCACTGCAAGAGCAGGACTCCCCGAAATCCAATTGCAGGAGCGTTTGTCCGTCTTAATGTCACTCAGTCCTCCCCGTCGCAGCACTCGCAGTTTTATAGCCTCATATTTCTTGTAGGCAGAGACAGAAAATATGAGCAAACACCAGCAGGATGCGGAACCGTAACACCATTAAAAGTTGGGGGTTTTTCTTTGGAGGTACATTTGGGCTGTTAGTCCTCAACAAAGTGACACAGTTAGTCCTCCTCCCCTGTAACAGAAAGACTGAACACAGTTCCTGTCACGTGCCACCTCTCGGCTCCAGGATCAGGGAGAGAATCTAAGCCAAGGAAACAAGATTCAAAGTGACAGAGAGCAGGACACATGGCATCCTCCCTCAACCTCTGCATGCAGGCACCTGTACATACACACACCTGTATAAACTACAAACACATACATACACATGCATATACCACACACACACACATACACACACACACACACACACACACACACACACACACACACCACCCAGAAAAGTAACAAAGCAAACACCCCACTTGAACCTGTCCCTTCCTCTGCCTTCTCATGTCATGCTTCTGTTCCTCTGCCCTATCCCCTCTGAGCCACGCAGAGTCCTCCCATTGGCACAGCAAGCCATCCTCTCATGGGCTTACATTAGACTCCCGGACTCCCATACAGAGAACATGCATCCTTTGAAGATGCAAACACCACCCCGTGCAGCAGTGAGGAAGTTGTGTCTGGCAGAGGAAACTCTGCATTGTGTAACCCGCCTCCTGCCTCCTTCTCTGGCACCTACAGTCATCTCCCTCCACATCATTCCTCTTCAATGTCAGCTAAGGGGGCTTTACACCCTGTGAAGCAATGAGCAAAAGGCCCCCCGTGAGTGAATTTAAAGCCAAAAAACTGCTCTTCCCTGCAAATAGCTCTCATCCTACAAATAGCCTAGTAATCAGCAATCAGCAATAATGATGAGGAGGATGTAGGAAACATACAGGGAATTAAATGAGAATCTGCAAAATAAAATTAAGCATTTTTAAATGGGCCTCTGCAGTGTCTGGGGAACACCTCCAAGCTCATTCCGCGATCCCACCGTCTCAAGTTCCTGGAATAGATGGGGATGTCTGGCATCAGGGCTAGATTCTCCCCTCCACCAACCCTGTCTACCGGTCACTTGGGCCCTTCCAGAAGGCGCAGCAGCTGGGATTCTGGCTGCCTTGGCTGGAGAAGGGCTGAAAACTCTGTAGCTTCCTCAAGTTTTCCAGTCCCATCCTGTCTTTGAATCTCACTAGTTTAGAAAGTCAGTGAGATGTTTGCGGATTCCAAAGCACCTTTAGAAGGCACAGCCCCTGAAGCCCCCAATCCAGGCTCACTTCAGGATGCACGGCTCCCTGCCTCTGCCATACAGGGGCTGGACGTCCGCTCCCCCACAGCAGGGCACCCCCACACGCAGACTCAGCTCTGCATTTATGCTGACCAGTTCACCCATTATCATCTCCATTTCCTCCTGGTGGGTTCCTACTTAGCCATAAGGTCACCTCCTCCAGGGAGACCCTTCTCCCAGTTTCCCCATGCGTGCTCACAGCCTTTTGGCAATTGTGGGGAGCCTGTCCTGGAACTCACTCTGTAGACCAGGCTGGCCTCAAATTCACAAAGGTCCGCCTGCCTCCACCTCCCGAGTGCCACTACTGCCTGGCAATCTCTGGTCTTTTTACATGGTCCTGGAGACCTGAATTCATGTGGCAGGCACCGTACTCACTGAGTCATCTCCCTGGTCTGGCCTGTGGATTTTTATGTCTCCTCACAGTATTCTTTTGTGGGCTCATGGTAGAAAACATACTCCGTAAACACCAGCTGGAAGGTAGAGCATAGTTTTCCAGGGATTAAACACCAGCTGGAAGGTAGAGCGTAGTTTTCCAGGGATTAAACACCAGCTGGAAGGTAGAGCATAGTTTTCCAGGGATTAAATGGCCTGTTCCAGGTCTTAGTAAAAGACAGATGCAGCCCTCAAGCTGAGGGTTGTCTGACTCTGGAAAGGCAGCGATGGAAGGGGATATTCATTACTTCACGTGACTGGGACAAACAGCTGGCAGAGACAATCTGAGGAAGGAAAGGTCTACTTTGGCTCACAGCTTCAGTCCATCCTGGCCGGGATGGCTGGACACAGTGCAGCTCAGTCTCTGGTGGCAGGAGCAGGTGACAGGAGTGGCAGGAGCCACTCACATCTCAGGCGACCAAAAAGTGCAGTGAGAGGAAGCAGAACCAGGACCGTCAAAATCCTCCATGACCCACGATGCCAGCTACTCCCCGAATCTCAAAAGTCCCACCGCCCCCCCAAAAGTAGCACCACCAGCTGGAGAGCCTGTAGGGACAAGTCGCACTCAATCCATTATATAAGGGTCCTATTCTGTGGGTATGAGAGTGAGATAGTTGATCCTAAGACTGAAGAATATTGTCCTAATACAGTTAAGAGCTTATCTTTGATGTTGCCCCCTCCTCTCTATCCATCTGTCCATCTATTAATCCATCCACCTGTCATTCTCTGTCATCTCTCTCCCTCTCACTTTATATCCATCTCCCTATCCACCTATCTTGGTATCTGCCTCTATCTCCCTCCCCTGCCTCCTACCCTGGCTTTTCCCTCCAGCTTCCTGATCCAGTGTGTGAAGATAGGTCGCGGCTATTTTGCCATACTTCGAGAGGAAAATGCCCTGAAAAAGCAGCAACAGCAACTCCAGAAGCTAAAGGAGGAAGAGTTAAACAAATTCCAACCGGCGAAGAAGTACTCGGACATCCGGTGCAGGGACACGCTGCTGACGTAAGCAGGCAGCATCCTCAGGGATACTGGGCAGTGAAGGTTCCCTCAGGGTGGCTCCCCTTTCCTCGGTTGGTACCCAGCCCCTTCTTCAGCTTTCTCCAAGCTGCCTGGTCATCCTCACTCTCCGACATTAAGTGGAGCATCGTCCATGGCACATTCCGCGCTCCTACCTGATGACACTAAGGGCAACAGAACAAATCTTGTTTGTTCCCATATAAACCTCCCCATCTTTTCCAGATCCTCTCCATTCCTGGTCCTTCCCCACTTCCTCTTCCCACCAGTGCTCGCCTCAGGACTCAGGGACTCAACACCCATGTTCAATGCTGCCTCCTCCTGGTACTTCCTAGCTTGCAGCCAACAACCTGCTGTATCCTTTGTTTTCTCTGGATCCTCATAACGTGTGCTGAATCTATCACTTTATCCCGTGTCGTATCTCTACTCTACACCCCCAGCTACAGCCCCTGGTCTTACACAAAGCGAATACACTGAAGAGTGTCTGTTTTCTGAGTAAAGTCACTTCCCTTTCAGGAAGGCTTTCTCCCAGCAGGGGGGAGACCATCCACAGATTATGAAATGCTCACATAGATAAAACAGCAAGAGGAACCATCCACCAAGCACAACGGTAGTGACAAACATTTACCGTGCAGCATTCCTACAAAACGGGAATTTATTAGCCCCGTATGAGAGTTGTAGAAACATGGAGTAAAAGATATCTGTTGGTTTTCCAACATCACTAGTTAGAAGCATCCTCAGTTAAAAACCCAGTGGTACCAAAAACCATGGGCTTCGACGACAACCATCGTGTACAAGGCCCCAGGAAACTTAGCTTGTGAAGGCAGAACACAGCACACTCTGGGGATGAAAAGAGAATGCTAAAGCAGAAGGGGGTGGGGGGTGTGCTCACACAACAGAAACCAGCCTTAGCTGTAACCAGTTAGCAAAGCTCACCCTAGCAACCCATTAGAGTCACCTGGTAGCCAGTGGCAATTACAGCTACCGAGAAGCTGAAGCAGGAGGTTGAAAGACCCAAGGCAAAAAAATAATAACAAGACTCACCCGGAGAGATTTTTAAATCACGAGTGTCCATGCTACACCCAAGCCAGTTATAATGGATTCTGTCATAGCATTTTTAAGTCCCCCTCACAGGTTCCAAAAAAGTCATGGCTGAGCCAATTTCCTCTGCACCATTACCCAAATTCTGTCATGCAAGGTGCTAGCTAATATGCATGTTCTATATACCTTTTTAAAAAGTCCTCTGGGCAGAGTCCTACAATATGTGACCTTTTTATGTCTGGCTTACCTCACATAGTACAGTACGTTTGGTGTTGATTGTAGGTGGGACCAGGTGAGTGGCAGTGAGGGGAAAGAAGACAGAGGGGCAGGGAATGACTGTTAATGGGTTGAAGGGTCTCCGTTTGGGATGGGCCTAGCTGTCATTCATTTATCATTTACAAAACTTCCTCCGGCAAGGCTCCACCCCCTTCAACAACCTCCCCCAACAGCACCACCTTCTGGAGGCCAAGTATCCTCACGTGTGAGCCTCTGGGGGCATTTCACATTCAAACCACAACAATCTGGTACGTTCTTACCACACAGCTTATGGTGATACATTGAAAGATCTCAACGCACGGGACCCCGAACTCTGTTCCACCTATCCCTTTCCGCTAGAAGAATAAACTTGCCTAGAAGAAGAAAAAAAAACACTCCCGGGAGTAGAGCATTAATCAGGACTATAATGATGCCAAGAGGTACATCTATGACACACCAGCATAAGCCCATCAGAAAGTGTTGGCACCCAGCATGCACCACTAGGGCAGTACTGTATTTTCTTTCTTAAAAGCACCTTTAGACATTTATTTGACACAGAAATGACTGGATGTGTTGATAGAGTACAGCGTGACATCTCAAAACACACATGTAACATGCAATGGTCAGATGGGGGTCATTCCCAGACCCATCACCTCAAACACTTTTTTGTTTTGTTTTTCTTTTTGGTTTAAGTAGAAAACATCTGAAGTCATCTACATTCACAATGTAGGAGAGTATGCAACCCACTGTGATCAATCAGTTTTCCAACTGCTGTATAAGGTTAGACGTTATCCTCCCCAAGAGGGCATGTCAGCCAGTGGTAGGGCACTTCCTAGCATTTGCAAGGTCCGGAGTTCAATCCCCAACACCTCAAGAAAAATGAATCACGTCATTCATCATTGTCTTTGTCCAAAAGTCATAAATAATATATTCAGGGCCAGAACCACTAAAATGTCCTCATTAGACCCTGAAAGAGGGTATTTAATACAGAGAGAGCCGATTAGTGATACCCCCCCATCTTTCTTTTTCTATGACAGTCCCAAGACCTTGGTGCAAACTCTGCCTTCTATCCATAGCCAAGTCCAGGACTCCTAGTGTTGCCCATCAGCTGGCAGCCTTGCCCTAGGATAAAGAGGAGTAAAGTCGTGGCTCCTTTTTGCAGAAACGGTAGTCTAATGGGCAAGCCGCCCAACCTGCACCACACAAGGGGAGGAAAATGCTGAAGAGGCTGCACAGAACATCCCACTTTTGTGGATGTGGCTTTAATCCAACCAGAGGACCCTTTCTCTCCCCTCCACCTGGTCCATGTTTGGGTATGCAAGGCGTGGTTCACTTAAAGTTTAATAAGTTAAAACATGCATGCGGTCGCTCCTTTCATTGGCCCATTTGTGTACAAGACCAGTCACTAAAATAAGTGGATGCCCACTTCAAGAGTGTAGTATCAAATGCAGGAGTGGAGCCTACTTTGTAAGTTAGCATAAAGAGACTGTCCACAGCACAGCGGGGTCAGAGTCAACAGCACAATTAGGACCTCAATTCGAGTTCTGACTCCACCTATACAGCTGCTGAATTGGAAGCAATTCACTGTACCTCTCTGGGCCTCCTTCTGTTTTACCCATATGAATGGTACCAAACCCCCATGCTTACTATGAGGGTTACATAAGATGATGCGATGCTCAGCCCAGCACAGATCACAGCACGCATAAAACACGCTCTGTGGCCGTCAGCGACTATAACACAACAAAGTGATTTTGATCTCTCTAGGCTTCTGTTAGCTAAACTCCTTGTATTTTTTTGCATAAAAAATCTTATTTTCCATGAAGGCAGCCCACATCTAAGAGTCCACCTTCTACAGATATGGTTCCAGCACAGAGGTCTCAAGAATGCAAGTGTTCATTTATAAATGTTTTCTAACCAAGTATTTGATCTTTTGCTTTTACAAAGCAAACGGGATTATCTTCACCACCACCACCCCATCTAGGTGATTCCAGGCACAAGTTTTAAGTCTGACAAACTAGGCAAGAAAGGGGAGATCAAGCATGCCTCACACGCTTCTGCAAGCTCTCCTCCCCGCTGTGCAAATTCAGCTGGAAAAGGTGGTGGAGGCATGGAGTTTATCTTATTATTGGAGCCAAGAGACGGCATCAAACCCGAGGTTAAGGAGTGTGAGGGCTGGGTTAATTTCTGTTTAGTCTGGGAGGCATGGTTAGGTCAGTAAGACAGAACATGGCAACATATTTGCCAGTGAGATTTTTTTTTCTAGTTTGTTTGTTTTCCAGCTCTAGTATCAAATAAGGAGTCAACGGACATGGAAACTAGGGCACCTAGGTTCTGAGGCTATCTTTTAATTAGTTCTATGTTCTCAAGAGTGTCCTCAAATTCCCTAGAGGAAGGTGCTTGGTCCTCACGTGTGTGCACCAGCTTGACCTCACAGGAAGCTAAGATGATGGTTTCAAAAGAGAAACTGCTCCCCACAGCGCCCTCTGGAGGGCATCCATTCCTCGGTGGACAAAGACAAAAGCATGGGCAGAGCTTGCAGGCCCACCCAGGCGGACTTGTTCGTGGATTGCTGCTTCTGCCTGGGCGTACAGCCTCCTCCTGCCCCTCTGACCAAACGCCCCCTTGTAGCATCTGCCTCCCAATACAAGCCCATCAACTCGTCTGTTGGCCTAGTTAATTCCATTCAACCTTCAGATTTCAGTTCAACATTTATTTCTGTTCCCATTGCTGTAGTCATGAAGTTTCGACTGCAAAACTTACTAACTCAGGGTAACGAACACTACTTCCACAGGTCAGTGATCAAAAATCAAAAGGCTGTCACTGCCCCATTTAGCATCAGCCAGGCCTCTCCCCAAGACATTCCTCACAGGGCAGACATTAACAACATCCCAGGATGCAGGGAGGAGAGGCTGCTCACTCCTGAACCCTGACATGACATCACTCTCTGCAAATTCTATTGAGTCAACCTACCTCAGAGCCACCATCTAAGGACGGGGGAAAGAATGGGGACCCACCCCTTATTTGGGGGTTTATCAGTGATCAGTGAATCTGGGTGATGTCCTTTTTAACTGTCATGACTCCCTCAGGGATTACAGTCAACATTAGGTTGTCAAACTCTGTGTACTCTCTGTACTCTCCCTATACACACCGAGCCCCATTGTTCTTGGTTACCCAACCCCACAAGACTATCAGCCTCAGGAGGGAAAAGGTGGGTCAGTCTCCTTCCTAGAACACAGTAGAGAGCATGCCAGTCAATCTTGGTTGTCAACATGACTGAATTGAGAATCGCCTAGGAGATTTGCAGTGACCACCTCTGGGTGTATCTAGGATCAGATAATAAGGAGAGATCTGCCCTGAGTGTGGGCCACACAATCCCACAGGCTGGGGACCCAGATGGAATAAAAGGGGGAGACTGAGAAGCCAGGTCACCACAGGTTTCTCTCAGTCTCCCTCTCCTCCACCTCTCGCCCTCCTGCCCTCTCCCCCTCTACCGCTCCCTCCCTCTCTTCTCTCCTCTTCCCCTTATCTTTCTCCTTTCACCTCCCCTCCACCTCTGCAGGGTCAGCTGATCCACCATCCTCCTTATCTTTCTCCTTTCACCCCCCCACCTCTGCAGGGTCAGCTGATCCACCATCCTCCCCATCCCCGCACTGTGAGGCACAGCAAATCTATTTCACTCGTGTATTCGTCACACAACGACAAAAAAACTTTCTTACACTTGAGGAAGCACTCCCAACACCTGATATGGTGTCTCTGAAACAAAGAATTTACCTCCTTGTTTATTTTCTTGGCTCCTCTGGTGGGGCAAGTGTCGTTTTCCTTTAATGTGCTCTGTTCATAGGCCGCTTCTAGAATTCTCACTCAGCAAGCTGGCACAATTGCCAGGCACACTGTAGTCGCCCCGAGATGAGTGACAAATAAACCCCAACGTAGACAAGGTCTAAAGCCGCTACTTACGATTCACTCTTCTCCTCCTTCTGTTCTTCCCTCAGTACCTACGAGGATGAGAAGTTAAAGAAGTTGGAGGCCGGCATCATTATCCGCCCATTCACGCCAATCCACAGCTGCATCATGGCTCCCAACTTGCCCAAGTCTCACGTGTAAGCAGGTTCCCCAAGTTAATGTGTCAGGAGTCACTGACTTGCTCCTCTGTCCTTTTGAAAGGAGCAAGGAGCTTGGAGCCAGCAAAACTGGCTCATTAAAAAAATAACAGGGAACAGGTACCACAGGTGTGGTGGATTAGACCCTAGCGGCAAATCAGATGCGGCACTAGTCAGGCCTTTCCTCACCTAACCAGACCCTCAAATGTCAAATAGTTTGCAACGCTTGATAAAAGTCTTTCTTGAGCTCTTGCTGTAGAGCTTGTATAAAAACATCTCAGCTGAGGCTCAGGGTATATGATCCAGAGAGCTATTTCCCAGGAAAGCCTCTGTGGTCCGATGCCTAAAGGCACGGTCTCCTCATCTCATGGTGTGCAGAGACTAGACAACCTTCCAAAGTGCATGCTTTTGCTTCCTGAGGCCTTGGTGCCTGGTTCTTCTCTCGTCTGTTCTGAGAGCTACAAGTGATAGCTTTTCCCATGGGAAGGTTCAGGCAGAGACAAAACCTAGTGACCTCAGCCCTGTAGGCATCTGGAGACTGAGAATTGCTTGCTGTGAGGGGCTCTCCCTGTGTAAGGCTGGATGTTATTTAAAAGCGGCATTGGCATCCTTGGCCTCTGCCCAGCAGATGTCAAGAGCACCCCTCACCCTGCAAGCTGTGACAACCACAGATGTCTGCAGACATGAACAGATGTCCCCTCAGTCCAAACCCACACAATCCCTCCAACCTCAGTGTTGAAAACCTCTGCCTTAAGATAAGTCAATCACAGCGCCACGGTACACTCTGTATTTATTATTCTCCCACAGTCTTTACAGTGATAACGCCACTCTGTGTGCACTCAGCCCTCTCCAGAGCCCTACTGTGTGGGTGTTTCCTCATCCCTCTCTGCAGAAGAGAATGGAAGCTCGAAGATGTAGACCCATCTCTTCTTGGACACAGAGCATAAACAGAAGGTCACCCTCCCAGGCTTTAAGCCAGGTCCTTCTGATGTCACACTCCAAGTTTCTCCTCTCATGCACTGTAGAAACCAGATCCTAAGGCCTTGTCTTTGGGGAGTTCCTGACATATTTTGAAAGCCAAGGCTCCTGGACTCAAAGAGAACCCAGGAGCAAAATTGCAGGACTATATAGGTATTAAAGATTATTAATAAGAGCACTTAGTTCATGGGTAGAAAATGCAGGCAGCCATTACCAACTCCTCCTCCTCCACCACCACCACCACCATCATCATCATACTCCATCATTCATTATCTTCCATCACCACTGTTATCAACAGTATACACTGAACATGCCCTCATCCCTTCCTAACAATCCAGGTTAATCCCACTGGCCTCCCGCCCACCTTGGATTGACATTATCTGGGTTTCTTGGTAGACCTATTCATCATGAGCATTCCAAGTGGCAGCCTAAGTTGGATGCCCTCAAAGCATCCCCTTAGGAAAACAGGCCTTGTGACTGCCTAGTGTCTCTTGGAAGCACTCCCCCATCTCCTTGCCGTTCCCAGGGATAAGCCCTGTGGAAGCATGAAATTCACATATATCCAGAGATGGGAAGAGATGCCTAGAAAAATGGGTAAGTCCCCATCCATTTGATCTGAATAATGAGGCTTAAACACAATGAACCTTAAGCGTAGTAAACAGAAATAGTTTCCTGTTGCGGCATTCCCGCCTGGGTCCCATCGCCACTTTAGCTCCCAAATAACACATGAGACACTATATTAATTATAAAGCTGTTGGCCATTTGCTATGGTCTATTAATGGCTAGCTCTGATTTAATTATTAACCCATAATTACTAATATATATTTTTATAAGGTCTTATCTTACCAAAACTCCAGGCTTACATCCTGTCCTCCCGGGATCACATGGCGACTCTCTACTCTTGACTATATTTCCCAGAATCCTCCTCGACTCCTAGCCCCACCTTACTTCCCTATTGACCAACACTGCTTTATTTATCAACCAATCAGACAAACATATACACAGAACTTCCCCCATCAGTTTCCTTTCAATGACAAATGAGGAAAGTGAACTCCAGTGGTAGGTGAACCCTGCCAGAGGTCTCACAATGGGATTCTGAATTCCCTGGCTCCAAGCTCAAGTGTATTAGATATCATTACAGTTGTCAACCTACAGCAGATGTTATAGTAATATATTTATTGTTACTCTATGAGGGATCTAGTAAATGTCTTAGGTTTTGAACATCACATGGTCTCTCTTGCAACTACTTTTACAATTGCAGTATGAAAGAGACAAGGATGGGTTGTATGTGTTCCAATAAGATTTTCTTTATAGAAACAAGGGACAAACCCACTCATTGACTACAGTTTGCCAACCCTTGCCCTAAACTAACACTTGCCACTTCTTTTCCTTGGATTATCAAAGGTTCTGGCCATGTTGAATAGCTAGAACATCAATGTATTTCTCAACTTGGAGTGATTTAGAACCCTCTCTTGTTGCTCTCAAGTCTGCATAGTTCTGGGTGAACCCAACCTGGCTGCTTCTGCCTGGGTCTATTTCCCTGTTTGTATCCAGTTGTTGGGTAAATTGGAGACTGGCTAGTCTTGGCAGGACCAGTCTTTGGTTTAATTGGTTGCCTGGTGGCTAGGATGACAGATGCATCTCTCAACATCTAGTGTAGGCTGATATAGGCTTGCTCACACTGTATCCAAAAGCAATTCTAAGAACAAGGGCCTGAACCCAAGGCTTCCCAAGGCAAAAGCTCACAAGAGGCATGGTGTCCCTCTGTCATTCTGTAGACCAAGTAGTCGAAAGGCAGAACAGACACAAGGAGTGAAGGAAAGACTCCACCTCTTGATAAGATGAATTGGCCAAGTCATAATTAAGGAATATGCAAAATGAAGAGTAGACAGGAACTGGGGTATTGTAAAGATGTATTTTTATCACTCTTTAACTGTGAACATATGTGTATCTGTGTATGTGCATGACTACAGTGCCCTCAGAGCACAGAAGAGGGCAGCAGATCCCCTGCAGCTGGAGTTACAGGTAGTTGTGAGCCCCATGTGAGTGCTGGGAACTGAAACCAGGTCCTCTGGAAGAGCAGCCAGTGCTCTTCACCACTGAGCTGTCTCTCCATGACTTGGAGCATTTTGTAATCAGTTGTATTGGTCATTTTTCTTTCCATTGTGACAGAATACTTAACAAAACATAACATAAGGGGCTTGGCAAGTAAAGTCACTTGCTGCCACATCTGATGGCCAGGGTTTGATCTCTACAGCCTGCATGGTGGAAGGAGAGAATTGATTCTTGCAGATTGTCCTCTGACCCCCACAAGTGTAGCACAACACATCCCCTCCCCCGTACACTAAATAATGCTAATAATTATTTAATTACTTGATTGATTAATTATCTAATGTAACAAAATGGTAAGAAGACAAAAGAAAAAGAAGCAATGTAAGGGAAGAAGAAATTATTCTATTTGTGTTTGAGGGAATTCAGCCCACCCTAGAGGGGAAGGCAGGCCAGTATATGCATCAAGCAGCCTGCTTATATCTGAGCTGATCACAAAGCCAAGATACAGCTCCCAGGGCCTGCTCCCAGGGCCCTAAGTGTGCCATCTAGTCATCATGTCCCAGAGGGTTCACAATCTCCCCAGACAGCACCACCAGTTGGGGACCAACTCAAACACTGAGCCCGTGGGGAAAATGTCACATTGTAACCATAACATTAGTTTACCACAAGGCATGAAGACAGGCTCTGCTTATCACCTCTTAAGCTCTCAGCCACTGCATCAGCCAGTGTAGATCAGAGCCTGGTTAGCCCCTCAGTCCCAGTGCAATTGATCCCAAAGCTGACCGATAATCCTGAATTAACTGTGTGGGGATCGATCCCATCACCTCAGGGGAGTCTTGACTTTTACTTTTCAAAATGGGAGGGGAGGACTGAGACACAGGTTCTTACCATCTCTATAAAATGACAAGGTTGTCCCTAGCAGCCTTTTCTAAATACTTGTTCAGTAAAAGCATGCCCACACCCCATGTCCAGATCTGTCATTGAAAACTGGTGTAGACAGCTATAACAGCATTGTACACACAGTCTGGCAGCTGGTGAGAGGAAACTACTACTGTCTCTCCCCCAGTCCCAGGGATGTTGGCACAACCTCCCCAAGCCTGGGGTTCCTATTGGAGTTTCCAGGTGTGTGGCTGCTGGTTCTCACCAGGTTCTGAGCCCCGGGCACTGCAGATGTGAGCTTTGCACAACCCTGTGTGGAGAGTTTATCTACCATGCCATGCATCCAAGCAAATAAGTGTTTTCTCTTTAAGTCTGAGCTATTGTTCTGTGACCTGGAGAGAAAAGTCAGATTTCTATGAAGCATGTTTCCAGGTTTTGCTTTTGCTTATTTCCCAGTTTGCTCACTACAGATGAGGTGAGAGAGCGTGGAGTTTTCCCCTCCGTGTACACAATCTAGACCCATCCGATGAAACCATTTCCTGGTGAAAAATGGCTGTACCCTACGGCAGGAAACATCAGCAGTTTTATTTTACAGCAGTGATTCAGGAGGCTGAACTCAGGTTCCAACTCTGCTGTTTGCTGACCTTTCATGGTCCTTTATGCCTCAGTTTGTTTTATCTGCAAAATAAGGATGTGAGCAGTACCCTCCTCCCAGATTCCTAAGAATGAGAACAACCCACGGAGAGTGAGCAAATAGAACACTGCTCTTGGAGTGTTTACAGTTACTATTGGGGTGGTGCTGTCACTTCACATTATCCCAGTGGCCCTGAGGATGAGGACTGCACCCAAGCTATCAGTTAGGGAAAACTGTCAGCTCCAAAGCAACTGATTCCCACCATCTTCCATTTGGGAGCCAGAAAGATGCTGAGCCCATGTGCACACATGCAGCAAGGACAGTAAACGAGCACAGAGCTGAGATCAAGCAGGAGCTTGAGGTGTAGAGAAAGGAAGCTCTAATCCATGCTGGGTGAATGGACGGATGACTCTCAGGGGAAACCCTAAGAGGGGAGAGCTCTTCCTGGAAACCAAGAAACCATCCCTTCCTGCTCCTGGGAGGCCTTCCTTCCATTAGTACAAGATGAGAAATCTTGGGGGTTGGAGGGAGCAGCTTCCAGGACTGCACATTGTTTCCAAGAAAACCAGAGACAGCAGGTTAACCCTCTCCTGACCTCGCTCACTAGCAGAGTGATCACCACACACTGGCTTCATCAGTACCTAGTCAGAGCTCAGCTCCCTAAGGCACAGTGTCTAGTGATTACTCTCTAGATCAAATCCTCACCTATGCTAGCTGTGTGCCCTCAGGTAACGCACTGACCCTCTCTGAGCCTCAGGTCTCTCCCAGGTACAATAGTCTTTCATGTTGCCATGAGCATTAAGCCAAACATCTAAATGTTGTCTCTGTGTAACATGAGAGTATGATCTTGAGCAAAACTGGTTGTGCTCTCTGGGCCTCAGTTTCCCCTTCTCTAAAATAGAAATGATAATTCATATCCCACTAGGTTACTGGAAACATTAAATAATATGGAAAAAGCACACCAGTCAATGTCTGGTTTGCTGTGGACAGCATAAGGTCTCCAAGTGATCAGAAATGTCCACTAGACATATGGTTAAGCAGTGTTTTTTGTTTTGTTCTCAAATTACGTGCTCAGTGTGTTTTTCTTCAATAGCCAGCTATGTTTCAACCCAGTTAATACTGTTTCCCATTTCCAGGCTTTCTTAATGCCCTCAGGCTACTTATTGCATTTTTATAAGATAAATGACTGGACATCAGTGGGATATTAATTGCCTTCAATTCTCATTTTGTTGCCCTGAGTCATGACCTCCAGCTAGGAGAAATTACCCACTACACACAGATTCGGAGGAACTGGAACAGGATGCTCATGTTTCAGTCATGGCTCTGCCACCTCTAGCTTGATGACACAACCGTGTGATCTCCAGTATCCTCAAGTGCAATGTGTGCAAAACACTTACCCATGTGACCGAAACCAGCACAGCTGCAGTCTCTGTGAATGTGTTCTAAAAGGACCCCTGTTCCTCCCTCTGTCTCTGCAGGGATCCCCTCTACCGCCAGCTATGTGCACTCCACTGGCTCCTAGAGGCCCTGACTATCGACCACACCCACCATATCATGAGGCCCTTGATTGCCTGCTGGAACCCCAAGTAAGGCCAGCTGCCCTGCCTCCTCCTGTAAACCAGCACTTACTTGCCTAGGCGGTAAGAGGTGGGGGCCTTATCCTTCCCACCCACCCCCTCTTTGGTGTTTTTGCCGGGTGACTTGTGAGTTGACATGCTCTATGGATCCAAACCCAGGTAAGCTGGAGACAGCTCCTCCACTCTCTCCAGAGCCCACTGTACACACTTCTTTATAAGCATCTCTTCCTGATGCTGTGTGGCAACACGACAGTAGCACAGGGAGAACGTTTAGACCACAGAATTAGGCAAGCTACACCAGCATGATGCAGACCCACAACCGGATTTCTCTCCAGGCCTCCTCATAATCCCACTGTGTCTCCTCAGCATTGGTTCTGAATGCTCCTCTACCTCAGCCACCATCACCGCCCCCCACACACACATACACCTTTGCCCTTTGTTCTTATTTTTCCCATTTAGCTCAAGGGAATTTTGTTTGTTTGTTTGCCTGTCTGCCTGTCTGCCTGTCTGCCTGCTTGTTTGCTTGGATTAGTTCATTTTCTCACTGGTTCATTGGTGAGTGAGTTGGCTGGTTGGGTGGGCTCATTGGTTGGTTGGTGGGTAAGTTGTTGGGTTGGTTTTTGGTTTATTGGTTCATCGGTGGGCAAGTTGGTTGGCTGGGTTGGTTTACTGGTTGGTTGGTGGCAAGTTGGTTAAGTTGGTTCATTGGTTGGCTAATGAGTAAGTTTGTTGAGTTGGTTTATTGATTGGTTGATGGGCTGGTTGATTGGTTGGATCATTGTTTGTAGTTTGATTTTTGCTCTGTTAGTTTTTTAAATATATATTGAAGGTTGTTTCTCCACTTAGACCTAAGGTACTTGTTCCAGATTCTGGAGTAGCTAGGTACACCCAGATGGAAACTCTAGAGAATGTTGACCAAGCCATGAAAATATAAGCCATGTCACCACCACAGGGATTACTCACACCAGAGCTTTGAGGCCACTGTTTCAGGAGCTGTAGAGATAGTTTTCAGCTTGTATAACCACCATCTTTGAGAGACCCAGACGTTTGCCAGAGTGAAACAACAGTAACAAAAGAGGGTAAAGAACCCAGACTTGAGGAATTGATTTGCACCATGAAAACCAACGCCCCATGTTAGCAGTCCTCACATGCATGCCCAGAGCTGGTAGCCCCAGCACTGAGGAGTGGGCATAGGTGGATCCCAGGGACTCACTGACCAGATGGTCTAGATGAAATGTTAAGCTCCAAATTCAAGGATAGACTCTGTCTCAAAAATCAGTTGGAGAAAAATGGAAGACAACATCCAGTGTTAGCCCCTGGCCTCTGCCTGCACCCACAAAGATGAGTACACTCCACAAACACCCATGTACACACATATATGCAGGCATACATCAAACACACCAAAATTTAATTCACAAAAAGCTACTTTCCATGCACCATCTATATTTATTTAAAACAAAACCATCCAAGTTATAAGTGGATGCAGTTTTCTCTTGCAAAATCCTTCCCCAGACCTCACAAGTAAATACATAAGGTGTGAAAATTTTTATACCACCTTGGAAATCCCTGCCTCAGAGTATAAATCCCTTTCTAAGTATTGGGTATAAGGGTGTCCCACATCTTCATACCTCCCTTCCTTGTGACTACACACAAATATAGCAACAGCAGCAATGACCCATGGCCATCTTTCCATTGCACCACACACAAAGCTTCTGCAGTCTCAGATCATGGAAAAGAGTACCCAGCAGGGAATTATACGAAATGGACAGAAAAGCACTCGCATCAAGTCCCTGTGGACAGATACCGAGGTGTTTTCCTCAAACTCTTGGCCTTGCAAGTCATGCTACATAGAGGGCCCCGCTGCATCTCTTCCATGCCCAGCTACAAAGATTTCTTGGGGCTGGGTTATGAGAAACACAACTTACTAGGTCAAAGCAGCAAGCATGTTATTTTTTTTCCAATCTCCATAATGTTAACATGTGAAAACCCCACCATGGCCTATTTCAACCCCATGAACATAGTGTGGTGTGGTTAAACTTGGAGCTGAGAAGCTGTGATGGCCGTTCTTAGTTGTCAGCTTGACTACACCTGGAGTTAACTAAAACCCCCAAATGGAGGGGCACAACTGTGAGGGATCTCCTACTCCTCATCTGGACCTATGAGGTAGTAAGACACACACCTTTAATCTGCATCTTTTGAGCTTGGAAAGCATACCTCTATAGGCCATACCTTCTTCTGGAAGCCTATATAAAGACATGAAAGAAGGAAGCTTTTGATCTTTGCCTGCATATGCTACATACCCTAACTCTCAGTAGCAAGTCCATTCCTTCACTGACATTAGAGCCTACTTCTTCAGGATTCTGTGATACATCCAGCTTGTAGAGTGAACTAATAACAATTCTCAGACTTTCCTATTCATATCAATCGGTAGTTGAATTAGCTGGACCACAGCCTTAAGTCATTCTAATAAATACTATACACACACACACACACACACACACACACACACACACATATATATAATATGTATATATATAGAGAGAGATGAGGGATGGAATTCATTCTATAAGTTCTGTTGCTCTAGAGAACCCTGACTAATACAGAAGCCATGTGTATCAGCTCTTAATAGCCAGTGAGAACCAATATAAACTGGCCCCAGCACATCACCATATAGGATTCATAAATATATATGTTACTATTGTTGTTAATTATGGGGTTAAGGTCCATAGAAAGTACATGAAAACGTCTTTTCAGCCAGCCAGAAAGTAGGACACCTTCTCCTGGACGCTTCGTCCATCCTTGAGGCCTCACCTGATGCCATCACATTGATTTCCCAAGCCTTGGATGTGTATTCCTAAAACCCAGGTGGATTTGAATGACTGAGATCAAGAGTTTAGGCATCAGTTCTGCCTGGTATCCCAGACCCATAACCACAGCTAATTATAGTGGTTGAGGCAGGAGGATTTCAAATTCAAGGATTGTCTGGGCAACTTAGCATGACTGCATCTCAAAAAAGACTAGAAAGAGCCCTTGAGTATACATCTTTGCCAGTGCCTTTGTCGATCATGTGCAAAACCTTGGTGCAAAGGCCCTAGCTTCAATCCCCAATACTGAAGGAGAAAGTAGAGATTTTGGACATCAGCCTAGATGACTCCACACCCTGCCACCTGCTAACTGTGTGATCACAGGCAAGTCACTTAACCTCTTAGCTTGTGTTTCATCACCTATCAAATGGATTTCTGACCCAACAGACTTATTCCTAAGACCGGGCAAGCTCATGTCTAGAAACACCGTGAATGTTCATTCTGTGACAGTCATTGAAGATAAAAATCTCTGCCTTGAAGAGCAAACAGAGTTGTGCTCATCAGCACCTCTGAGACCTCAAGCCAGTAAAGAAATAAACGCAGGAAGAGAGTTCTACTACCATGGTGACTGGGCAAGCATGCAGGTTGGGGAGAAAGGCCACACCAGCCCTCACCAATGGCAGCAAGCCTCAAGGAGCAGAGAGGGGAGTCAGCAAAAACTGGTTTACCCCGAGGGAAGAACACGGGAGCAATGTGATTATCTAAGTCTGGTTACCTCGGGCTATACCAGAGAGACAGCATGGGCCTTGTCAGAAAACCAAGTGAGTGGAAAGCTGACTTTAATAAGCTAATGTTCATGCATATGCTGTTTGCTTCATAATTTGTAGAACATTCCCATGAGTTCAAGGCCTCTCAATCTATGGAGTAGAGTGAAGTAACTGAAGATCTTGGTACCCTGAAGCCACCCAATTGATAGATCTGAGTGGGCCTGAGAATCTGCATTCTAGCAAGCTCTGGCTAATCCTAACTTTTATTAAGAATCTAGACACTCGGGGCTGGGCGGTGGTGGCACACGCCTTTAATCCCAGCACTCGGGAGGCAGAGGCAGGCGGATCTCTGTGAGTTCGAGGCTGGGCTAGACTGACAGCCTCCAAAACAATACAGAGAAACCCTGTCTCGTAAAAAACCAAAAAAAGAAAAAAAAAAAGAAAAAAAAGAAAAAAAAAGAATCTAGACACTCAGGGCTAGTGACCTCTTGCTAACAACAGGGCCTCCTCCTAAAGGTTCTGAAGCCAAAACGGCACCATCAGCTGGGACAGGCTACCAGAACATGACCCTGCACGGTCTGATTCAACCTTGATAAAGTGAAAGTCTTCTCTTATAAAACAGTTTCAGAAGCCGATCCAGATGTGCAATTTTGCAAATACAGAATGTGTGCTATTTGATCTAACAGAAGAAGAACCCTTCCAAATGTGAACCCCCATCTTGGAGGTGATCAGTAGCTACACTTCCGAGATTTAAGTTCTCATTGTGAAAAGTGTGGCAGAATTCTGAAGAACACACATAATAAGCAATTTTCTAATTTAACCTTTTTTATATTTAAATAGGGTTCCCGGCCACTGCTGGAAAATTCGAGGTAAAGGAAGTGGCCCACATCACTGGCCACCGGAGCGACCACCCCAGGAAAGGGGCTGGAGGATGCAATCAGTAGTGAACATGCATAGATCAATACAATCTGCAAGGCTAGAGGGATGGCCCAGAGACTAAGAGCACTTGCTGCTCTTGCAGAGGACCAGAGTTTGGTTCCTAGCACCCACATGGTAGTTCAAAGCCACCTGCAACTCCAATTCCAGGGGATCCAATGCCCTCTCCTAATCTCTGTGGGAACCAGGCACACACGTGGTGCACAGACCTATATGCAGGCAAAACACTCATACACATAAAATAAATGGAATTTTTAAAAATCTGCAATAGCAACAGTCACAACCACAAGGAATCCGATGGGTGACATGACAGTGACGGGAGAGGCCTGATTTCAGTTTGGTCATCAAGAAAGATGCTCTTAGAATGGGCATTCTGGGTGAAATATCTGATTTGCCCCCCCACTCTCCTCTTCTCAGCCAACACAAGGGTATCCCTCCCCACTCTGGCCAACATCTCAGGGGTGGAAAAACACCACACAATCATCGAGTCACCTTATTTCTGAAGAAGCAGGATAGGACTTCCTGGCCCGGAAGATTCCAGAGCTTGGACATTGCAGCCGCCCTGGTGTGTAATCAGCATTTCTTCCCCTCAGCCACAGGCCAGGTGAACATCCTAAACTAGCCCAGAGATTCTCCTCTTGAGAAGAACACACTTTACTCTGAATTGGAGTCGGGAAAGTGAGAGTAAAGTGTTTGAGAAAATTGCTCTGATTGCCCCGACAGATAGACATCATCAAGTGACCTTCAAGAACAGAATGTGCCCGGAGGATCCCGGGTGCAGAGCTGAGTCTGCGCCCAGTGCTCTCTCCCCTTGAGTTCTGGGAAACAGGCACCTCCAGAAAGCATCAGCACGGGGAAATTATGGTCTGAAAACCACAGCTTTCTCCCCTGGAGAGCCACCTGCCCCACCTCATTTCCCACCATCGCCAACTCCTTCTCGAAGCCACACCCAGATCTCGGTTGATGAATGTGCGCTATTCTTTTTAATAGCTGAGCCCGATGCACCCATTAGTGACTCGTTTCTTTTCACGCCCAGGACAATCGAATCGGATGTGCTAAACGAGCCACGCTGGCCTCCTCCTCCCCACCTCTGAAATTGGCTTTTGGCTCAGCCTCCACAGTGACACCGGGCCTTGCTCATTATTGCCACACAGGGAGCCAGACGGATGGAGGCTCTATCTAAGCCAAGCTCCCACCATGAGCAAGAAGGAGTCTACTGACTTGGGGACTGGCAGGCAAAACATCCACCCAAACAGCCACCTGCCACTCTAAGGTCATGTATTAAAAAAAAAAAACAAAAAACAACAACAAAAAAAAAAACGCAAGTCACAGAGAGACACGGACTTCAGGGGACAGGGAAGCAGGGTTCCACTTGGTGAACAGTGCTAACGGGGAAGGCTCACCAACTGGATTTTAGCCCCCTCAGCGAGGGGCAGAGTGGACTTCCCTTCTCCGGCCGCTTCTGATCTTTGCTCCCCGCCTATCGATCCTCCTTTTGGGTTTATTTGCTACTGAGAGCGAAACATCAGAGAGACTGGTTCTGCCTAACCTGGCCTCTCCTTTATCAATAGCTTTGCAGAGGGCTTGCTGAGGGCTTCCGAAGGTCTACAGGGACCTGGAAGCGTCTTTAGTTCATTTAGCCTGCCGCTTGAAGTCGCAATAGACTTCAGGTCTCCTTGGAAGTCAGCATTAGCAGAAGGCTTCTATCTTCCTGATTGGGCCTGAATATTTAAGATTTTGAAAGCTTGTCTGGGCCCAGATTTAATTTTAAAAGGGGAAGGAGGTTGCTTTTGAACTTCAAGAAGGCACTGGCAGCTCAGCAGGGGCTGCCTTAGCAAAGGAGAAAGCCAAAAGCCCCGCGGTCATGAAAGACACCGTGGAACACCAAAGCCGCCTGTTGGTTAGCCTGAAATCAGGCTTCAGAAGTGCCGCTGTTTAAATACTGTGTATAAGGCTGGAGCTTGGCTCCTTCCTCTGGCTGGATTTTAAATATTCCTAATTTGATTACTCGAGGGAAAAGCAAGCAGAACCAACTCAAATGAACTTCTCTGATAATTATTCAGAGCTTTTTATTGTGCAATCAAACATAAAGTTCTAAAAAAAAAAAGCCTGGTGGCCCATCCCACCCCCACCCCAGCCTGGCACCCACCCCTGGGGAATGTTTCTTGTGTTGTGGTTGTGTATCACTAGACACCCATCAGGCCCAGCCTAAGGGGCAGAGGGGTCCCGCTCCTTATTGGTGACAGCCTGTGAATCTGCTACCCAGAGCCCCGCATCATGAGAAGCCAACCTTAAGTTCAGTTCATCTGACCGTGTTCACCCCCTGTATCTGAATACTTTGATCCACAACCATCATTCGGGCAGACTTTGACAAGCCTAGACACTGTGAGTGCCACCCCACCTCACCCCAACTATCAAAGTTGTTCTGGTCACTTTATCTCCTCAAATCCCTGCTCTGTGCAGGTTGAGAGTCAGCCAAGTACTTGACAGGTCTCACACATTCAAAATCATCCTTCAAAGAAAAGGAGATTAAAAAGGAGATGGATGGATGGATGGATGGGATGGATGGATGGATGGATGGATGGATGGATGGATGGTGTGTGGATGGATTGATGGGTGGGTGATGAAATTTATGAATGGGTGGGAATGTAGATGGATGGGTGTGTGAATGGATGGAAGGATGAATGGGTGTGTGGTTGGGTGAATGGATGGATGGATGTGTAGATGTGTGGATGGATGGGTGGGTGGATGGGTGGGTGGATGGAAAGGTAAGAAGACAGATGCTAGATGGCTAGATGGACAGACAGATGTATGGAGAATGGAAGGATAGAGGGATTCGATAAGCCAATTGATTGATTATACAAGAAGTTAGATCACATAGTAAGATTCCTCATTTGTGTATCAGTAAAGACTTAAGGTCCCATAACCATTAAACTCAAAATCTAAAGGCTCTAAAAACTCAGCTTTTTCATAACTCATCTGGTCACAAAATTCAGACTTGAACCAAAATGAACTAAACTGAGAACCCCTATTTTAGAGTCTTTATTTCTCTCACCGAGTATAAATATCTATCTACTTTATTCCAGACACGTTCATGTGTTTATAAGTGTCTGCCCCGGGCCTGTTGGAGGGGCCTTAGTAATGCACACAGTGTGTCCCATTCAAAAAATGCCAGCATGGCAAATTTGGTAACACGATGAGGGAGGGAATGAGTCACCCACGGAGCCTGTTTGAGGGAGTGGTAGAAAGTTCCCAGGCTACAAGGGAAGACTTGCATGATGATGTTGCAAGTCTTGAAACTTACTTACATGGAGGAGGAGGACACTCCAGTAAAAACAGCTCAGGATCACAGCATAAGAGAAACACAGAAGCCCAGCTCCATGACAGGGACCTGTGCAAGGGAGGGGCCTGGTTACAAAGGGCAGTGACAATGACCCTGGGTCAAGGTGACAGTGATTGGGAGGATTCCCTGAGAGCCCGGAGGCACCTGGCACAGAACATATCCCTAACTCTTGGCAGTAAGCTAAAAACCAATGACTTTACTGTGCGACTCATCATGCACGCCCGCACCCACCCTCCCCTGGACGTCCAGTCACACTGTGCCCTGTGATACTCAGAAACGTTCCTGACCATGGTGCCCATGATCCTGGACAAGGCATTAGTGCAGGAAGGAAGCCACTTTTCTGTCCACCCCCAGCATAACTGCAACCTCACCCTGGACTCAGTAAAAGTGCCCAAGTCCAGAATACAAATAGATCCAGAACTCATGCAAATATACCCCACCTCCCACAGTCCTCACCCAGGAGAGAGCGATCTCTCTTAGCCTCAGGAGTTTTTACCCCAAAAGCGCCACCTATGGATAACTGTCCCCCACAAAAAAAAAAAAAAAAAAAAAAAAAAAACAGTAGGGGAAGAAAATCTTACCAGAGACCGTTCAGCCTGAATTTATTGTTTCTGTAGGATGGGGGGAGACGCTGTAATAAACCGAGATCCTGCAAAATGAAAACTCATTAAGTTGTTTGTCACGCAGGGACCCAGGTGGCAGCAAGAGCACAATAAAGAAGATCAACAAGGACAAGTCCATGGGGCAGAGGTGGGATCACTTCGTCACAGCGCCGAAGGTAACCTGGAGCCCACCATACTGTGAGAGCTCAGGCCCCGGCCAGGGGAAAGCCAGTCTCTAATGGGAAAGGTTTATTTATGTGTGTCTATGTGACTTCCCAAGCAAAGGGAAAAAACCACATGCCATTGGATTTGTTTTTTGTAAATTTTAATTAAAATGGTTATCTGGGGATTATAGGAAAAATGACATTTGGCCAAAAACACTGGAAAGAGAAGAGAAGGAAAGGGAGGATGGGCACTTAGTAAGATGCCATTAGAAGGAAAGAGACTCACCTCACTCCATCTTTTAATCAATAATCTCTCTCTCTCTCTCTCTCTCTCTCTCTCTCTCTCTCTCTCTCTCTCTCTCTCTCTCTCTCTCACTCACCTCCCTCTGTCTTTCCCCCTCCTTCTTTCCCCGCTCCTCTCTCCCTTCACTTACTAGACAGGATAGTCTTCCAAACCACATGGGTCTTCACTAATGAGAAGATATTTTGAAGTCTGTTACCTTCAACCCAAAGCTCTGCCTATCCTCGAAGCCCAAGCAAACTACTCCACAAACAAGCACCCAAATAATAGCGAAAATAAACGGATAAAGCTGCTCGTAGATGGGGCATGTAGCCCCTCACCCACAGAACTGTTACAGTGCCCACCCCGCCTCCCACACAGTGCCCACCCCCAGCTACCTCATGGTCAGTGAGAAGCTCATGGAAAGGATATGCAAACTCATGGGAAAGTGTAAAAAGAGAAACAGGCTATGAGGCTCAGAAGTAAAGGCGCTTGCACCCAAGGCAGATACCCTGAACTTGATCTCTAGGACCAACGTGGTGGAAGGAAAAAACCACCTCCATCAAATTGTTCTCTGACCTGTGTCCTCTGACCTACACACACACACACACCTAATATGTACAAATTTTAGGAAGTATTTCCCAGCATACTGACAAAAGGGCCAATTTCTTTAATTGTTACTCCATGATATCTTCTGAATGTCCCACAAGGCACTGTTCTTACACTCTGACGGGAGAAGTTGTTGGAGCTTAGGGAGACTAGTGACTTGCAGAGGCTCCCACAGCTGGGCCAGGGTTCACCTTGGGCCTGTGTGTTAAACACAATGTTCTTCAGAGTCACACTCTCCACAATAGGACCATTCCCTCGTTTCCTGCTCTTTCATCGGCATCCTCAAGGATCCAAAAAGCAAGAGCCTTTGTTTTCTCACACAAAGTTGCTATGGAGACTCTGTGTGCATCTGTCTCTAGAGACCCACAAAGCAGCAGGAGCTTATGAGCTGCAGGGTTTAAAAAAAAAAAGTGTCCTTCTAGAATGCTGAGTATGGCTACAGCCGTATTCTCACAACTGAATCTCCCACAGAGCATGCGTGTCACACCCTGGCGGAGGAGCCATCCGGTCTGGGGGTGGCAGGGCACTGGGGCACCCACTCTGGCTTGTTGCATTCTGTGACTTTGGACAACCCTTTCTTCTCTTCACCTGACCTCAGTTTACCACTCTGTAAAGTGGAGATCCAGAAAGAGACCCTAGCCAACAGTCCCCCATTGGGTTTTTGGTATGCATAGACCTCATCAGTAGCAGGCAGTGTTCCCTGAGGGAAATCTTGTCGGTGGAAAAATCAGGCTGAGTGGAACACAGCAGGGAGTGGTGAAGTCTGTGGCAAAATGAAGCACAGCCAAAGGGAAGGCAGAGACTCATATTACCACATGCAAATGGAGCCCAGGCAGGGTTCATTATTTTGAATGAAAAGCCAAACACTCAGGTCTTTTCCATAAAAGTCTTCAAATATGTAAAAAAACCATGGGTGGCTAAGTACGTCTCCCCATGGCATCCAACCCCTGCTTCTTAGAAAGCATAAGGATTCACTCTGGGGAAACTTCCCATATATATATATATATATATATATATATATATATATATATATATATATATATATATATATATTGTCTCTCCTGAGGCAGACTGTGACAGCTGGGTCACATCACTCCTGAGCAAACTGTGAAAGTCAGAAAGGCACCTGGGGACTTAAGTCAGGCAGAGTCAATTCAATAAAGGTCAGACAACACACTGAAGCCCCGCACGTCTGTCTCCCCCAACATTTTATCTTCCTGACACTCTCAATTAATCAGAAGTGTCAGCCCTTTACTTAGGTCCCCTGGCTGGGGTGGCTAATTGAATGTTAATTAATGACGACTTTAGGAGCACAAGATGGAATCCCAGCTCAGAGAAGGTGCAGGAAGGACAGCAGTCACCTCAGTCTGTCCCCACTTTTTATAAATGAAGAAACTGAGGCACAGTGATCAGTCCCTTGACTCTGAATCCAAGGCTACTTGCAAGACCCTGGGGTCGCCCCCTGAGACACAATCTGTTAAACCTTCAATAACGGTGTTGGCCTAAGGAGTCCCGTCTCCAGCGCCAGAGACTCAGAAGTGGTTGCTGAAGCAGGAAGGGTGACCTCAGCTTGTACGTGCTGTCCCTGAGCTCTGACATTCTCTCTCACAGGGGGCAGGGGGTGTGGAGTGTCCTGTCAGGCTGACAAGCTCCTGGCCACCCTGCAAAGTCAGGACAAGGGAAGCCTCCTGACTGATGCAAGCTCTCGCTGTTGAGTTCTTCCATCATTCTGTATCCCGTGCACTGCCTTGGAAAACTGGATAGACCCAGTCCAAACTCCAGTCCCCCAGCCCGTTGCACACTGAAGCTGCCTTCTGTTTGTGCAAAAGCAAACTTAGGGAAGGGAGCAAAGCAAAGGAAGAAATGGGAGGCAAAACTCCACAGCCTTAGTCCTTTTCCCTTCCCTCAGCTCTAACCTTCCTCTGTGTAACCAAGAAATCCCTCCCCTCTTCTAAGGCAGGGACAGTCCGGTCCACCTATGCTCAAGGCCTAAAACATCACAACACCTGTGCTTCCTTCCGTGCAGTTGACCCGGAAGAAAACCCGCCGAGCATACGTCTCCTCACCTAGTGTTGTGATGTTAAATCTTGGTGTGGCCTTCAGGATCCCTTCTGCTCCTGGCCACCCTCCTTCCTAGGACATTAAGCACTAAGCATTTCTTACAAGTATGACACCAATCTGAGTCATTCTAAAAGCTCTCAAGGAAAATTATTTCTGGGGTTAGGGAGATGGCATGGTGAGTAAGACGGCATGCCACACCAGAGTAACCACCTGAGTTCTAATCCCCACCACCTACATTAAAGGCCAGGCAGGGTGACATGTGCTTGTAGCCCCAGCACTGCAGGGAGAGTGGAGGAGACAGGAGGATCACTAAGATTTACTGAGCACCAGCCTAGCTCCAGGGTCAGTGAGAAACCCTGTCTCAAGGGAATAAGATGGAGAATGATAGAGCGTGATTCATGGTGTCTTCCTCTGCCCTCTTCTTCCACTAACACACACACACACACACACACACACACACACAGAATTTAAAATACAATCATCTGCATTGAGCTCTTTTACATCTCTGCAGTCATTGTGGCATTTTAGGTGGCACTTCCACAGAGAAAAGAATGTCTTCTGATGATCTTGGTTGGTGACAAATGGTCGTTCCAGGTCCAGCTTGTGTCCATGGTGTTTACAAGGACCCAGGAGTGTCCTTTGACCTTCCGCCTGGACCTCAGCAGAGATCAGAAATACCATTTCCCTTTTCCTTCCTTTCTTCCTCCTTTGCTTCCTCCCTCCTTCCTTCCCCTTCCTTCCTCCTCACTCCCCCTTTCCCTTCTTTCCTTCCCACTTCCCCCTCCCTTTCTTCATCCATCCTTCCTGACATCCTTCTTTTCTCTCTCTTTCCTTCAGACCAAGAAATTCAAAATCCCCGCCCTTCGCACAGCCAGCCGCAAACCCAGCCGGCGAGGCTCCACCCTCAGTCTCACTAGGACCAGTGGGGGTTCTTCTCCCCAGAGCAGCATGATTTCTGTGAACCCCGGCTCTGACGAACCCCCAAGTGTAGTCACGCAGGCCACTGGCAGCAAAGACATTGAAGACAATGAGTCATCATCAACTAAGCCAGAAGAAGAAGCTCTCCATGCCCGTAAGTCCAAGATCCCATCATTGTCTGTATTGATATCTGTAGTCTTTGAGCCTCTCCTGCCCTTCTTCAAGCCCCTCTCAGCAGAGACACAGAAGTCAAAGGTCTCCATCACCTGTTTTGTTCAATGTCTTTGGGTCCTTTCCTTGACAGTCCCTCCCCAAAAAGGCTGAAAATACACCCTGTGAGTTGTGTCACTCTGAGTCACTCCTCCACAGGGACACAGCCACGATCACCATTTACTTTTGTAACACTTTAAAGTATATTTTTATTTTTCTCATTTCTATACAATTTTATCCTTTCCACATTTCATGAATATGGACATTATGATCAAGATATTTCTGCCTTATTTTCCCACATTCTTCAAATTCAGTACCTGATTTTTTACACAGATCTGTAGATGTGGTTTTTGATTGTTTGTTTGTTTGTTTGTTTGTTTGTTTGTTTGTTTTTGCTTGGTTTGGACTATTTTTGTGTGAGAGAGAGAGACAGAACACATGCTCATATAGCTCAGGATGTTCTGTGGTTCACAGTCCTCCAGCCTCCTGCCTGAATGCTAGGTTAAAGGTGTATGTATGCAATCACATGCAGCTAAAGGCACCATGCATTTTAACCAAGCATTGTTAAATGTACAAGCCAACAATTTTATGAGGTTGACAGAGCACGTACCTGTCACAATCTGACACATTGTTCCATCAACCCATCAGAAGACATGCCCATCCATTGTCCCTGTCCCTCCCCAGTCTGAACCTGAGGGGGCCATGAATCTTTCCTACACAGAGGTGTGGGTTTTATCTGCCACCTTCAGTAACTCACAATGCAATGTAGACTCCTTGGGAGTCTACTGAAAGCTATGAATCTTCTTCTAAGAAAGAAATCCAAAACCATGAATACCATCCAAGGGTAAGGGAGACCTCCAACCTCAAGAAGAGAAACTTGCAGCTGGATTCCACAAACCTGCATTGAACAAGTATAATAAAGTCAGACATGTAATAGAACCTGAGCGGGTAAAAGGACCAACCTTGCAAACACAAGGACCTGGGTTCAAATCCCCAGAGCCACCAAAAACCAGATGCCCAGCTGAGTGTCTGTAATCCCATCACCCCACAGAGAGGCAGGAAGCCAAGGCAAGACTCCCTGGGAGCTGATGGGTCAGCTAGCCTCATATACACAGTAGGAAAATGACAAGGAGATCCTGTCTAAACAGATGGAAGATAAAGTCAGACATCTGAGCCAGGGCTGGCCCAGGAAGAACTGGCAAAGACCTGGTGCTGTTTAGATTCAAGGGTCCAGATAGGGCCTGGCTTATCAGAGTCAAAAATGTGCAAAACTCCAGAGGTGCAGGAAGGAGCCAGAACCTATCAAGAAAAGCCCAGGGAGGACTCAGAGCTCTCACAGCTATTCTCTGGACCCAGAGGGAGTCAGAGAGTGAGTCCTCTGAATTTCTGGAACTTTCTTCTTTCAATGTTTGCGTGTTGAGTGCCCAGGATGTGGAAAGATGTGGTGAAGGTGCATTTAAGAAGGAAAACAAGGAAGGTGGTAACAAGCAGCAAGACCACTGAGGTCAAGGTAAAGGGAGGACAATGACAGTGAGTGATGATCCGGAGAGAGGGCTCAATCTTCCCGTCAGCCTGGATGGTCCACAGAGGCCTCTCTCATCTCTGACCATTGAGCTGAGACCTGAAGAGATGGGGCTTGACAGCTTTCTAACAGTCTCTCTACTCCTTGCCCCACCCCCACTCATTGATTTCTTTTTCTCCATGTTGATCTGGAGGGAACTTCTAAGTTAAATACTGGATACAGTGACCCCACCACGACCGCCAGTTCAGCATCTTTTTAGTGATGCCCATGGCCTCTAAACATCTTCTTACTCAGGATGCTTATACCTGGCTTAGCATTGCTGCTTCACATCTTTAGCAGACCAACCTCAACCTCACCAGTAGACTTTCCACTGTTCAAAGCACCATCCTAAATGACATCTTTATCCCCTGACGCCTGGGGCTGGTAGATGCTGTCTTGATCTTCAAGCCCCAATTCAAATGCATCCCCCTCTCCCTGTGAAGCCTCACTTGAGGTGCTCTCTTTTCAAATTTCTTGGTACTTTATATTGGTTCTTATTGATAACTTAATTTTAGTATACTGTTTTCATCTCATGGTATCAAAGAGGTTCTTTTTTTGGTTGACACAGAGGCCTGAAAACAGTGACTTTAAAAAGATCAAAGTGTCCATTTTCCTACAGAGTAAGAAGACCAAGCAAAGATGAGTAGAATGACTTTCAAAAGTTTCATCGCACATCTTCTTTATCCTGTCCTTTTAATTGGCCAACCTCAATCTCACTGACTGATAGAGCTCTCACCGTCACACCCACATTCCAGGTAGGAAGCAGAAGGCAGTAGATAGGGTAGAAAAGTGCCCACACTCGATGCGTATAAGCAGCCTTCTCAGCAGCTCCACATCACATTTGTAAACCCCATCGTCAAGGAGGAAAATGGATGAGCAGGTGAAGATGCTTGACACCGAGCCTGATGACCTGAGTTGGACACCTGAGACCCGAAGGGTGGAAGGAGAACTGACTCTCCAAGATTTCATTCTGACCTCCACATACATACACACATGGAGAGAGACAGGGAGGGAGGGGAAGAAGGACATATGGAGAGAGAGAGAGAGAGAGAGAGAGAGAGAGAGAGAGAGAGAGAGAGAGAGAGAGAGAGAGAGAGAAAGGAGAGGGAAGGAATTATAGACAACTTCATTGTCTAGAACTCAGTCATAGGGCTACACCCAACTGCACCTAAAGGATGCTGGGGAAATGATCTGGAAAAGGTTCCCCTTCTAGGTGGAAAAAGAATAAAAAGTCCCTAAGACTAAAGCATGAAGGGGAAGGGAGATCAGACTCCCGCAGGCCTGGGTGTGTTGTTTCGTACCTTCAGCCTGGCTCACACTAGATGTACAGCCATTGCTGAGAAATGTTTCCACCGGGGAGACAGAGCTGTCTCTGGCGGGGGGTGGAGGGATCCCTTCTTAGCTGACCCACTCTTTCCTTTCAATAACACCATCACCTCCATCCTGTTCATCACAGCCTTGGCAAAGGCTGACTTATTTCCAGGCCTAAAAACTACCTGAAATTGACGTTGGGCCCACTGGCTATCCCAAGACAGCTCAACATTGCTGATATTTTCCAACTATACAGAAAAATGTAAGATTACAACTCTAATAAAAAGGCTTAGAGGTGTAGTTTAGTGGCCTGGGCAGTTGCCAAATAACAACCTCGCCCAATGATAACTCAGCACCTTGGACAGCTACTGGCTTCTGGAGAAGGCTGCTCCCAGTGGTTGTGTGTCAAGCAGGTCCCTGATTGCAGTGGGAAAGAGTGGTGGGGGGGGCAAGAAAATATGTATCCTTGTAAAACACTGCTGCTCACTTAGAGCCCTGTCTTCTGTGAAACAGAATGTGAAACACTCTGTGTTTCATATTCTAACTTTTAGGAGTATTATTAGCTTCCTAGGGCTACACAATAATATCTTGCCTCAACGTAGTGGGCTCCTGACTTCCAAAACCATGGTGTCAGTGACTTGTGACACCTTCCCTTTTCCAGCCTTCTAGATGGTGCATGCTGAGAAGGCTTGACATCCCCTGCTCACAGACACACACACCACTCGTGTCTGCCTCTGTCACCACATGGCCATGCTCTCCTCCAATGTGCCCCCCTCCTGTTACAAGGACACCAGTCATACTAGACTAAGAGTTCATCACACTACACTACAGTGTAACCTCATCTTTACCCATCCAAGTTACCATAACTGCTTCCAATTAACATCACATTTTGAAGACTTGGAGATTAGGAGACAAGAGTCAACTCATGGTGTCCAAGCCTGGAGAGGTATTCAAATAGTACATGGAACAGAACATATAAAGTAGGAAAAGTTGCTTTCATGACTTTCTGTCACTAAGACACCTGGGGGAAGGTTTGTTTGAGGGAGGTGGGGTTTGTCATGCTGCAGGGTTTCCTTACCTAGGCAATGGCATCATTGTTTCAGGAATGTGGTGAAGGGGAGCCTCACACAGTGTCAGGGAGCTGAGTGAGCAGAAAGGACAGGACTGGACCAAGGCCAGTCCTGTGAGACATATGCTCCCACTAACCTATTTCCTCCAACCACACCCTGCCTCCCAGTTAACTCAGAATGAACTCACCATTGGATTAGCACACTGGCAAAGTTTGTACCCTCATGACTCATGCCATCATTTGCAAGACCACCATGAGCTGGAGACCAAGCCTCAACACACAGAAGTTATTTCACTCCAAAATCACAACAAGGGTCAACTGGCATGGTGAAAGGGGTGGAAATCACAGGCCTGTCTGAAACATCCGTCAGTGAGAGGCAGAAATGAGGACAATGACAATGTGTTCATGTCTTGGATTCTTACCAAAAGGAGTAGAGGTCTGGACGCTGATGCAGAAACTTAGTTTCAAATGCTGGCACTCTCATCAAATCAAGCAAAAAACACAATTGTGATCTGGATTCAGGATGTAAATCACCAGTTTGGAAAGTAAGCAGTCAGGGCTTCCCAAACAATATTTCTTGTCAGAATCTGAGACAGTTTTCTCTGGTTGAAGCAGAGCTTAGGATCCTTTATGGAGCTGGAAAGATGGCTCAGTCAGTAGACTGCTGGCTGTGCAAGCATGATGACATCAGTTTAGTCCCCTCACCCACATAAAAAGCCAGGTATGGTGGTGCCTGCCAGCAATCTCAGTGCCCAGCAGAGAGAGACAGTAGAGCTTTGGTGGCCAGGCAGACTAGTCAGTCAATGATCTCCAAGTTCAGTAACAGACTCTTATTTCAAGAACATGGGGTAGAGACAAAAGACACCACATGTGGACCTCTGGCCTCATGCATGGCCACACATGAGAATGTACATACACACACACACATACAGAGAGAGAGAGAGAGAGAGAGAGAGAGAGAGAGAGAGAGAGAGAGAGAGAACATGTACAGAAAATAAATCAATTTTAAAAGACCCTTCAAGGTCTTTCCAGGCAGGTAGAACTCTGCTGCCAAGAAAAGAATCATGGAATTGCTTTAAGTCAAGGAGTGACACGGTCAAATTTGTAGCCTGCCACACCCTATGAGCTGCTCCTTCTGGGGCACAGTGGAATACCTGTCTGACCCCCTCCCCGCTCCCAGAGGCCAGGCGTGAGGTCCATGCACCATCCTGTCTCCTATTCCCATTAGACCTGCAGAAGCTCCTGGAGATGGTCCGAGAAGACGCCCGAAGAGCGATGATGATGGAGAGTGAGCTGCAGAAGAAAGTTCCCAGGTATATTACTTTATTTCCTTGGGCAATTGAAGGATGTCAGTCATATAGCCATGACAGCCACAGCTATTGATCCAAACTCTGAGCTATATACTTTGTATGTGTCTAACTACCCTGGATTCTTACAACAACCCTTTAACATATCTCCTTCCTACCTCCATGTCCTTTCTCTCTCTCTCTCTCTCTCTCTCTCTCTCTCTCTCTCTCTCTCTCTGTGTGTGTGTGTGTGTGTGTGTGTGTGTGTGTGTGTGTGTGTGTGTGTGTAACCCACTAAGGCCTGGGGAAAAGGCCTATCTGTCAAAGGTGATGGACACATGGGAGTGGAGGAGAACATTCAGTCAGTCACCTGTAGTCACCGTCAGAAGGGGGCCACAGCACCATCAGGGAACAGGACTGCCAAAATGGGACAGAGAAAAGCATACATTGGTGAGAAGGGACTTTGTCTTGAAAGTCCTTGCCTGGAGGATCTGAAGTCTTACCCTAAAAGCCTGGGCATCCTTGGATAATCCAAGCAGCAACTAGAATAACTGGCTCATAAGAGGGTAGTGCTGAACTTGAACCTGAGGTGTTTGTCCTTTGGGAAAAGCTCTGCCCGTGGACTTGTGGCCTCTATGAATGCTCCAGAGAAGACAGGATGGAGTCAGACTTCCAGTCTCAAGTATAAATTCCTCTGACCAAGCAAATTAGTTACAGAAAATAAATGGAGCCCAAGAAGAGGTTTATCATGAGCCTCAGCCTACTGGGAAGCCAGCCATGACTTATTGGTTATCGTTAGTGCTGTAATTACCCTTCTCCCAATGTTTTCTAATACATCACACCCCACCTCCGCCTGTTAATGATGAATCTGTCCACTGCAGCCTCAACTCAAACCCACCCCCTAAGGTGGCACCTGGAGGCATTCTGAGGCACTGGCCTGGTCAGCATTAAGTGACAGACAAAGGTGACAAATACAAAGGCTCACAGATGGAGCACTGGCTTGAGTCAAGTTGGTAGAGACTCAAAGCCTGATTGATGCTGAGGATGATGTCTCCTGTGGAAGTGAGATTGTGAAGCACCTAATAAACTAGCCAACATCTCCATCCCACCATTCAGTTTCTGTGTGATACTGGTCACATTGCTTCACCTGAGTCTTGTTGATACACAGTAAAACGAAGCACCTTAACAGCTTACCCCAAATGGTTGTAGTGAGAATGAAGTCATACTGTCTTTGTAAAGGCCTAGGAATATTTTCTAGAACTTATGTCTGTCTCAGTGAGTCCTTATATCGTTTAGGGATATAATGCATTTATTAATATGCCAGCTTCCTCCTGGCATACAGTTGGCAACCAATAGATGTGGTGGTAGTAGTGGGGCAGTCCTGACTTTCATTCTTTATATAGGAGCCACAAACCTTTACAGAACTTTGCCAAGGCAGGTGCATCAGCTGTCACCATTGTCATGTGTACCAGTTGGCTTTCTATTGCTGTGATGAAACACTAAAATCAACCTGGGAAGGAAAGGGGTTTGTTTTAGCTTACAACCCAGGCCACAGCACAACACTGGGAGAAGTCGGGGCAGGAACGTGGAGGCAGAAACTGAAGAAGAGGCCAAAGAAGAATGCTGCTTACTGGCTTGCTCCCCATGGCTTGCTTCCTTTGCTTTCTTATACTACCCAGGACCATTTACCTAGAGGATGGCACCACCCACAGTGGACTTGACTCTCCCACATCAGTCATTAATCAATAAAATTCCCTTCCGATGTGCCTACAGGCCAATCTTATGGAAGCATTTTCTCAATTGAGGCTCTCTCTTCCCAAATGCTCTAAGCTTTGTCAACCTGACAAAAGAAAAAAAAACTACCCAGCACAGCCTATCTCACAGATGGAGAACATCCATGATGACTTCCATCTGGTTTATAAAGCCCATGGCTCTGAGGAACCCTGTCACATGTGAACTCTGCATTCAATTCAACAATAACTGTAGTTACAGAGAAATGATAGAACTCTCCCTTCCTCAGTAATTCTATGAAAAATTAAATCTCCCCAACTCAGTAAAGCATCAAATACTGATGCTTACGTGAGACCAATAGGGACACACACCACGCTAGCTCACACTGAGGTCAGCCAACAGGTTGAGAGGTTGATGGAGACCTCTGAAACACAACCCCACCCCACCCTCAGCCTCAAGACTGCAGGGATATGGCTTCTTTGTAAAATGCAGTAATGCTTCATACATGATGCTGGGGACCAGAACCGCTGTGTTCATGAAGACAGTGCCTAGAGCTCATCTTGGCCCCACAAAGGCAGAACCTCCAGAGCAGCTCTAGTTCTAATAAGCACTTCAAATGGGCATGGTCTTGGATTCTGGGAAACACTACTGTGTATAGAATTCCATGGAGTATGTAGTTCTGGGTTTCTTCGTGGAATCTGATGAATGTGGAATTCTATGTGAATATGGAATTCTTGGTGGGGGATGGAATTCTAGGTGATTGGAATGCTGGGAGGGTGTGGAATGCTGGGAGAGTGTGGAGCTCTAGGAGGGTGTGGAGCTCTAGGAGAGTGTGGAATGCTGGGAGAGTGTGGAATGCTGGGAGAGTGTGGAGCTCTAGGAGAGTGTGGAGCTCTAGGAGAGTGTGGAATGCTGGGAGGGTGTGGAGCTCTAGGAGAGTGTGGAGCTCTAGGAGAGTGTGGAGCTCTAGGAGAGTGTGGAGCTCTAGGAGAGTGTGGAGCTCTAGGAGAGTGTGGAATGCTGGGAGAGTGTGGAATGCTGGGAGAGTGTGGAGCTCTAGGAGAGTGTGGAATGCTGGGAGAGTGTGGAGCTCTAGGAGAGTGTGGAGCTCTAGGAGGGTGTGGAGCTCTAGGAGAGTGTGGAATGCTGGGAAAGTGTGGAGCTCTAGGAGAGTGTGGAGCTCTAGGAGAGTGTGGAGCTCTAGGAGAGTGTGGAGCTCTAGGAGAGTGTGGAATGCTGGGAGAGTGTGGAATGCTGGGAGAGTGTGGAGCTCTAGGAGAGTGTGGAATGCTGGGAGAGTGTGGAGCTCTAGGAGAGTGTGGAGCTCTAGGAGAGTGTGGAATGCTGGGAGAGTGTGGAGCTCTAGGAGAGTGTGGAATGCTGGGAGAGTGTGGAGCTCTAGGAGAGTGTGGAATGCTGGGAGAGTGTGGAGCTCTAGGAGAGTGTGGAGCTCTAGGAGGGTGTGGAGCTCTAGGAGAGTGTGGAGCTCTAGGAGAGTGTGGAGCTCTAGGAGGGTGTGGAGCTCTAGGAGAGTGTGGAATGCTAGGTGTTCTTTTCAAATTCCCCATCAGTCTGTATATATGTGTGTAATTATTGTTGTTTATGTGAAATTCTAGGTGTGTTTTATTTCTAAAAATGTGTATAGAATTGTGGTGTATGTGTGCATGTCTGTGTGCATGCATGTGTGTGCATGTGTGTAATAAATTGTCTGAGTTTCTGAGTTAGGTGAAATTCCATAGTATCAATATGTGATTCTGGGGCTCTATGGTCCCCCAGAGGAGGTGGTCCATCCTGGCGTTAGTCCGTGTGTGTGATTCTGGGGAAGTGAGGGGTTCCACCTGCAGTTTCGGAGCACAGCTTAAGCCCAGCACAGCAAGTGTCTGAACATGCGGTCCAGAACCTGTGTTCTCAGCAGACTCCCCAGACATTTCCTCCACTGTGGCTCTGTAGCTCACCCTGGGAGAGACAACTGGTCCTACATAGACACCTGCTGCTGCGGGGGCACCTGGCATCTGACACTTTGTTACAAGACCCCTCTCGGTTTGCAGCATCCTGTCTCTAGTCAAGCAAGTCAAGAGTGATTCTGCCTGGAAGGAGTGGCAGACCACCCACAAGTCCAGGTAGGAAATTCTGAAGCCTGCCACAGGTGATGCAGGGGGACAGGCAGGGAAGCCAGCCCTGATCCAGGGTCACCCCGCAGATGTGGGGGGCTGGGGGCTGGGGGCTGGGAGGGACACCTCTCCCTTTTTTTGTTGGTTTGTTTGTTTCTCAAGACAGGGTTTCTCTGTGTATCTTTGGATCTCCCTTCTTTTGACCTCACTTAAAATTAGTTCCTTTAGCTGCTGGGCTAGCAGCAAGTACCTAGACACCTCTCAGAATTTATATTCTATGCTTTTCACTAAACTCTTCCAACCATGAAGAAACACTGTTGGGAGAGCACGGTACAGGACCCCCTTCCCTCCTATTTTAAAATGCAATCCCAGTTTGGCTGTTTGAGGTCTGCAGCATGATAGTGTGAGGCACATTAGCATGGGCCTGGAGGACCTTGCTCTGATTAACTTCACTCCTTCCCCTTGAGTAGTCTGTCACATGACATGGAGTCGGTCCCCTGATTCCCCCAAGTCCCCTCTGTGGGCCAGGAGCTATGCATTGTGTGTTCCTACACCTGGCTGGAACGTCCTCGTGCTTTGAGCTCGTATATAGTCCAAGGGTGGTGCCTTCCAGAAGGATGTTATAAAGGCACATGATAAATTATGAGGATTCTAAAGGTGATATATGTTGCTAGTTTACCTCCCAATTTGAAGTATCGTCTTCTAGGAGCTTAATGATGCATTACAGAGTAAAACTGTACAGTAGGGCTAACAAACACTGTGACTTTGGATTAGGGTTGAGTGTAAATAATTCTTGAGACTCTCTCCCACAGTTGTCATGTGATATCTAAATGCCCATCATTTCCATCTCAGTTAAAGACTATTTAAAATAGAGATGAGCATTTTTTTCTCTGCCTCCATGGGCCTCCTGGATTCTCCCCGTATTTGAGAACTGATATTGTAATAAGTAAGCATGCCTTGCTTAACCCCATGGTTAGGGGACAGGGACATGGCTCAGTTGGTAAAAAGTGCTTGTCATGCAAGCATGAAGGCCTGAATCTGAATCCCCAGGATCCACATTTAAAGCAGGGTGTAACAGCATGTATCTGTCACATAAACACACACACACACACACACACACACACACACACACACACACATACACACACACAGATATTCAAGTGTCCTGAGAGAAAGACAGAAAGACAGCATGGGGTGGTGGGTTTGATCTGGAAATAGTCCAAGGATGTGATAAGTTGGGTGATCCCAGAGGAGATGATTAACAACCAGGCTGGACTCTGAATCTAGACTCTGGACTCTTATCTGCCTCCAAAACTGAGGCATCTGAGTCTTTGGCTCAGAGGGTGTACTGGCCAGCGTTCCTAGGAACCGAACTGATAGAAAGAATCTATATATACATGGAAGGGGAGTTTACTAGAATGGCTTAAGGCTGTAGCCTGGCTAGTTCAACAACAGCCGTCTCCCCAAGAAAAGGTCAAGAAGTCCAGGGCCTGATCAGTCTATGAGGCCGGAAGTCTCAGCTGGCCTTCAGTCTGTGTTGGGATCCAGAAGAAGTGGGTCCTAACAGCAGTGAAGGAATGCCTCAGCAGCAGGCTAGAGAACATGACAAGAGTGAGGGAAACAAGCTTCGACCTCCCATTTCCTTCTATGTGTGATGGCACCAGAAGGTGTGGCCCAGATTTAAGGTGGGTCTTTCCACCTCAAATGACCCAGATTTAGTGGAATCAAGAAAAGTCCCTCACAGGTGTGCCCAGCGCTTGGGTTTTAGTTCATTACAGATGTCATCAAGTTGACAACCAAGATTAGCCATCACAGGGACCCAGCTTAGGAAAGGGTATCCTCGAATGAAGTACAGCCTGGAGTGAAGAACACGGGGTGGAAAACTCAGCCACCCCTTTCCCAGTATGCATCTGTCCTTAGAGAAGATAGCATGTGATCCCAACACAATGCTGAGGCAAAAGGTCAAAGTTGAAGAGTGTGGGGTTATAGGACTCGATATGAGACAAAATAACAGCAGAGATGGTGGGGGAGGGACAAAGAGGACAGCCCAGGCAAAGTCACGACAGGGGCAAGGTCCAAGCTTGGAGATGGAGTGCACTAAGTGCCGGTGCCCAGGTAAGGTGTCCCCTGTACCTGAACTCTGGGGGACTAGCATACATCAGGAGGGCCTCAGAGGGACGTCTCACGAAAAACAGCTAGAAATTGCCCCTTGGTGTTTCAGCGAGAGATCCAGCACGACGAGTGGAGAAAGTCACACCCAGGTGTCCCAGAAGAAGTCAAAGAGGTAAGCCAGGTGGGGAAGTGTACATCATGGCCAAGAGGCCGACTTTACCATGGTAACCACATTCTTTGTCTCCCACGGGTATGGGAAAAGCTCAGTACAGACTCCCCGAAAGAGAGACAAGGGTCTCACACATATCCTGGGCAGCCCTGTGGGAAAATAGATGAAATCCCTCTGTAGCACTGAGCACCTTGGGCTGTGTCCTCCATTCATGGTCTTATTTATTTCCCAGGTCCAACCCTGCCAAGCAGGAGCATCGTCTCATTTCACAGATTAAAAGGCTGAGAGTTGGCCACATACAATGTCCCAATCAAGGCCACACAGCTGAGAAGGGGGTGACACTGGGGTTGGAGGCTCATTGTCCTTGACACCTGTTGGGATCCAGTGAAAGCTACCTCACTGTGGCTCATGTGTACAGCCTAAGCCACCAACTATTCTTCCAACCTCCGAAGGGGATGCTGAGGGAGGCTCCACTTGAAAACAGAGAACCCAGCTGGATACTAGAAGCTCCCACTTCGGGGCATCTTGGGCTCAGGGAGGTCAGTGGGACCCATGAGACTACCAGAAGTATTCACTGGACCCCATTCCCCCAATGGTTTCTCTTGTCAACAGTCGTATTAACCGTGACATCATCCATTGCAAGAGTGGGGTGTGTAGCATAATGCGGGCCAAGTTTTACAGCGTAGCCCAGGAGGCCGGCTTCTGCCTACAAGACAAGATGGAGATCCTCATGAAGTAAGGGCACACACACGTCCGGCTCATTGCAAGGACATGTACCTGGTACCGTATGTTCAGCGTGTGTCCAGTGCTGGGGCTGGAGCAGAGACAAGGGGAGACATCTTCACTGCCCTTGGGGAGCTAACTCTGCCTCTTGAGGAACAGAAACAAAATCATTGCATCTAGGAGAGACACAATGAGAATTGTCCCATGTGGGAAGAAAACGGGTATTACATCAGAGGAGGACGGAAGGAAGTGGGAGAGAAACAGCAAAGGAGAAAGGGGGGGATCAGGAGGAGATGAGGAGGAAGACGAGGAACAGGAAGAGGCAGGGGAGGGAAGAAGCAGGAGGTGAAGAGGAGGGAAAAGTGAAGGCAAGAAGGCCAGAAATCAGGGATCCCGATTCAGGTTGGGTAATCAGGGAAGTCCTCTCTAAGGAGGTGGCTTTAGGATGGCCATGAAGGAAGCAGGGAAACCCAGAAGAGAAGAAACTAGGAAGAGGAGTATTCCAGGTGGCAGGCACCTGGGGACTCCGATAGGAGCAGGAAGCAGCAGCGACACCGACAGCACACACAGTCAGAGTACTGTCAGTGGAGTTCTCCATTAAGAGGCCACCAGAACCCTCCTCCTCCCTACTACAGCCCATCCCCTAACTAATATGACCATGTGTCCCAGGGAGCTCACCCATCCCGTCAGGATTTCCAGGGGACCCCTTACACTCCCTCTCCTGCTCAGAGCTCACCATCTAGAGGCACAGGTGAGTACACAAGAATCTACCACACAGGGCGGTGAGGGCCAGCAATGGTGGGGAAGAGCAGAGGGTTAAGGGAACACAGAGAGCTGGTGCCCCTCCTGACCTGGTTAATGAATGGCAGTGCCATCTCCAGGGTACTGTGTTAGGCAGCGTGTGCTCCACCACCAAGCTAAGAGCTTTGCAGTTATCCACCATTTATGGTTTCCAACAACCCCACGGGTGAGGGGCTTTACTTAGACCCCTGACAGATGCCACAAGCACACTCAGAGAAGTCTCATAGCAAAAGCCCATACATGTCAAAACGGGAAAGGTGGAACCCAGGCCCAGGGAATCTGACTAAGAAATTAAGAAGGGGAGGAGCTCCAAGAAAAAGCAAAGTCCCAGAGGGTAAAATGGAGCTGCCAGGTATTGGCTGTACTGGCTCTCGTGACACTTGCAAGGAGACAACGCTGCAGAGAGCCAGACAGAGTCCAGATCACAAAGGCTTCACTGACCGGGCCGCGTGGAGATCACACTTTGTCCCAAAGATTGTGAGGAAGAGGCATCCAATTCTAAGCATGGTGACTCAGTTAGAAAAGTGTGGAAACTGGATAATCCAGGGCCTTAAGGGATGAGTTGCTCTAAGTTCTTTATTCTAAGCAAGACGCAAAGCACTGGGTGCTAGGTGTGGGGCATTGGGCACGGGCATAAACACAGCACGAATTCTCTTTGGAGAGAGGGCATATATGCAAAATGACCAGACTAGGGAAGAAAATAACCAACATGAATTAAGCACCTACTGTGTGCCCTGCAGAACAGGCAGGGCTCTGCACATGAAATTTAATTGTCATCTCTGAGAGGCAGCAAAGGCATTTCAGCATGTTGGAGGGAGCTAAGGCCTGAGAGGCTGAGCATAATTTACAGTGGTGGGTGGCCTCTGGAAGAGCTCGCCAGTAGCTAAGGGGATGGGGATCTGTGTCTCTAATTCCTCTCCCACTTCTTCACGCCACCTCACAGGCGCCAAGAAGAACGGGGTCTACAGAAGTTCCACTCTTTTATTCTTGCCACGAATTTCCAAAAGGATTTGTCAAAGATGAGGCACCAGATCCCAGTGGTGAAGGGGGACGCAGAAGAGATTGCGGATCACTGGTAAGACCCCGGGGACCCGACAAGACGGTCCCTTAGTGTTACATCATGGTCAATTTCAGGGTTCTTCAGCAGTCTAGAGGCATCACCTCCCAACTACCAGTTGGGTCCCCCAGATCAAAACATGGTCAGGGAAGAGCCTGTAAACCTCAGAACCATGTATCATGAAACCTATCCTGGTCTTCATAGATACCACATTTTTGGTCCAGACTCAGAAATAAGGAGCGCCCCCTTACTGCCACCCCCGATGCACAAGCGCATGTGCACACAAATCCTGAAGAGTGAAACCAAACCTGTCAATCAAATGTCTACAGAGTCTGAGTTCTCCGAGGTTATCACAGCATAGCCCCGGGAACACTGCATCCAGCACATGGAAGAGGATAGGTAGCAATGAGGTGAGGGCTGGGGTCTGCTGCACTGCAGGGTGATGGCACTGAGTATTTCAAAACAACTGAAAGGGAGGGTGCTGAATCTCTCACTGTAGAGAAGTGATGGATGCTTGGTGGATGTACTAAGCTTCTAGATTAGGACATTACGTATTGTATGCCAAGGCATCCAGTTGGGACATTATACACTGTATGCAAATTCTGACACTTGCTGGGTATGATTCCACACTACTTTAATTACAACACTCAGAAGGCAGAGGTAAGTGGTTCTCTATGAGTTCAAGGCCAGTCTGGCCTCCACGATAAGTTCCAGGCTAACAAGGCTACATAGAGAGATGGTGTCTCAAAAAGACAAAAGAGCAAATTTTAAAAAGTCCTGATGTGTTACACAAGTACTCTAGAAATAAGTTCAGTGATCATGTCAATTAAAATAAGATTTTTAAAAATTGAAAAGAGATGCTGACCAACCGTAAGAAATCACTATGAACCGAATGACTGATGGATGGCAGAGGCTACCCTAAGGAAATATAATGTTTCATATTTTGTCCCTCCAAATTCTTGAGGATACATATGAAATCCCTATTTCACAAGAAAACTGAGTGTCTGAGCAGTGGGTTCACTTGTCCCAGGTCACGCTGTTTGTAAATGCTGAGCAGAGGACGTGAGCTTCTGACTGGTCTCAAACTGCACATTCATTTGTAAAATTGAATCGGCATCAGACATACTGTGTGTTGTAACCCCATTCTGCCAGGATGAGGAAAACAAAATCTAAGGAAAAAGATGGGGAAAATGGAGAGATGGACCCAGGCTCCCTCACAGATTATTACTTATATAGAATAAGAACTCGACAGAGAAACCCTGAGCTGTACGAGAGATGTGGGAACCACGCACAGTGCCTCACACTCCCAGGTCTTTGCTACCCCATGAAGGTACTCAGGCTCCCAAAGATGTCCTATGTAAGGGGAAAGGGAGAGCTAGTTTGCAACCCCCCTCTTTGGGAAGAAAACGGAAGGGTAATAGACTAACTCACAGGACAATATTAGAGTGGGAAGTCTAATGATGGAGCGTTTGGTATCATTATGGGGAAACAAGCTCCCTCCATAGAATCGTTAAAATCAAGTCAAATGAACCACAGCCTGCCAACAAGGGTGCTCAGCTGTGCTCCTCACTCATCCAGTTACTCTTCCACTCTTTCCAATAATAACTACTGAACACCTACTATCTGTTAGGCACAATTAGTTCAGCCCTACGTGCTGAGTAACTCAGGCATTGTTCATGTTTTCCTGAGGATGCATGCTATACAAAGATACATGGACAGATACATGAATGCATAGCATATGTACAAAGATGAGCAGTCAAGAATGTTTGGTGTGTGAAGCTATTCTCCAAAATCTTCTACAATGGTACACATGTGATGGATGACAGCATTTTCATCATCATCGTCATTATCATAAATGTCATAATTCTATAATTGAATTTTTATTTTATTATTAGTAGTACTTGTGAGAGATGGGAAAAGAGAGAAAGATGGGGGCACATGCAGTTAAGAGAACAAGTTTGTGGAATCTGTTCTCTCCTTCCATCTCTTTGTGAGCTCTGGGGCTCAAACTCAGGTTGTCAAGCATTTGTGACAAACACTCTACCCAAGAACACTTTCTACACACACGCCATCACTTGTCTTAAGCAAGCCCTGCCCACATTCATGCTCTTAGACCTAAGGTAGGTTAGGTCAGACAGAGATGGGTTAGAGCCCACCTGTCTCCACCTCCTCAACAATGCATTCCCAGTCGTAGCCTGTTGGCTAAGCTTATTATCATGGAGATGGAAAATGCACAGGCCATCATCTCCATTTCTATCACCACCATCATCACCATAACCACCATCATCTCCATCACCACCACCACCAACATCATCACCACCATCATTTCCATCACCACCATCATCATTGCCCCAGACACTGTCACCTAGAAAATACCCACAGATGTATCTACATCCACCCTGGCATGATTAACACTCTGAAGAGAATCTCAAATGCCCCCCATTATGTTTTCTGGATTTCTATCTGCTTCGTAGAAAACTGTTCTATGAATTCAGTCTCTTAAAGCATACCATTTATTTAGTTGCCAGTGAAACAGAAACTGGCTGCCCTTAAAAATAAAATTTTGCCTCATGGGTAACCCTACAAAAACTGGGTATAGAAGACAGGGCCCCCATGAGAACCTTATGCTGCCCTAAAGATATCCCAAGAGTATGAAAGAAAATGGAGCCCAAATCCCCATCCCAGGACCTCCCTCACGGGGTCTCTCCTCTTGGGCTTGAAGGTACTTTGATCTGTTGTCCAAACTCCCTGAGGATCTGAAGAGCTTCCGGCCTGCGAAAAAGATACTGGCAAAACTGCAGAAGTTTGGAGAGAACCTGGACCTGAGGATCCGGCCGCACGTCCTCCTGAAGGTGCTCCAGGACCTTCGGATCTGGGAGCTGTGTTCCCCAGACATTGCAGTGGCCATTGAGGTAATGACCATCCCCACCCACCCTCCCCATCCTCACCCCCACCCCTGTGCCCTCAAGTGCATCTTAAACCCTTTCCTAGAACACAAAATCAGATGTCATCAAAGCTCACAAGAAGCACTGAACCAAAACAAAAATTTTAAGGGCAAATGACATTATAAAAGCTATTCATGGCATTTACAGGGAAGTGAACACAAAATTATTATGCTCAGCTTAAAAAGCCAGACTACCAGATTTTCTTTTTACACACACATGTGCATGTATGAACACACACACACATGCACACACACACACACACAAGCGCACAGGCACACGACATGAAAATCTCAGGGGACTAGCAGCAGTGTGGACAGGGGCAGGTACTAGAATGATACTGTCAATGAACTTGATCATCCTGAACTTTAGGAACTCATTACTCAGTAACAAATATGTACTAATAAAAATGTTAAGACATTAACAAGAGAGCAAAGGTAAAAATGTATCCAACTGGGTATTTTTCCTCTCTTCAAGCTTTCTTAGGGGAATGGCAGCAAGATGAGCATAAAATTGAAGCCAGCAACTGGATTTCTCAGAAACAACTAGTCTAGCCTGATAGGACAAATTAGGCAGACTAGCTGAGGTTTTAGACAGCGAGTTTTGTGTCCCTCTAACAAGGCACATGCTTATGAGCCAGAGCAGGAGCCATTCTGATCAACACGTTTTTGCCAATGAGACATGCTTGTTTTTCCTTTCCCGTGGTGTAAAAATCCATGCTTTCAGATTCAATAAACCCTTGGAAAGTGCCACATAGATGCAGCTGGTTACAGAAGTGTCTCCCTGCAAAAGTTGTTCAGACAACTGAAGAAGCAGTCATCAGTTGGTAGGAGGTCAGGGGAATATGGTGGGTGAACATGCTCCACAGTGCCATAACCCAACTCCACAGACCAACATTCCATAGCCCAACACTCCATAGCCCCAAACTCCATAGCCCAACTCTATAGCCCAGCACTCCATAGCCCAACACTCCATAGCCCCAAACTCCATAGCCCAACTCCATAGCCCAGCACTCCATAACCCCAACTCCATAGCCCAGCACTCCATAGCTCAACATTCCTTAGCTCAAAACTCCACAGCCCAACACTCCATAGCCAAACACTCCATAACCCCAACTCCATAGCCCAACACTCCATAGCTCAAAACTCCATAGCCCCAAACTCCATAGCCCAACACTCCATAGCTCAAACTCCATAGTCCCAAACTCTATAGCCCAACTCCATAGCCTCAACTCCATAGCTCAAAACTCCATAGCCTCAACTCCATAGCCCAAAACTCCATAGCCCCAAACTCTATAACCCAAACTCCATAGCCCCAAACCCCAAAGTCCCATACTCCATAGTCCCAAACCCCATAGCCCAAAACACCATAATATGATCCATTCAACTTTTGAAGGACTGGTCTGTTGTCAAAAGGCAAATGCATTAGCCAGGGTTCTCTAAAACAATCTAATGTATAGAATGAATATATATATGTGTGTGTGTGAGAGAGAGAGAGAGAGAAAGAGAAAGAGAGAGAGAGGGGGGGAGGGAGGGAGGGAGAGAAAGAGAGAGAGAGACAGAAAGAGACAGACAGAGACAGAGATAGGGGGGGTTATTACAATGACTTACATGCTGTGGTCCAGCTAATCCAACAATGGTTGTCTACCAATGGAAGGTACAAGGACCCAGTCATTGATAGTCCATGAGGCTGGATGTTTCAGCTAAGCTGGTTTTCAATATACACTCAAATTCCAAAGAAGTAGGCTCTAATTAATGCCAGTGAAGGAATGGACTTGTCAGTGAGAGCAAGAGCAAGTGGGCAAAGAACTTCATTCCTCCACATCCTTTATACAGGCTGCCAGCAGATTAAAGATAAACCTTCCCACTTCAGAAGATCAGATTAAAAGTATGTCTTCTCACTGTAAATGCTTTAATTAAGAAAAAAATCCCTCACGGGTGCACCCAGCCACTTGGCTTTTAGTTAATTCCAGGTGTAGTCAAGTGAACAACCAAGAAAATTTGAGTGGTTTTCTTCTTTCAAGATTTATTTTTATTTTATGTACATGTGTGTCTGGCCCATGTGAATGTATGATCACCATAAGCATGCTTGACGCCCACCAGAGTCAGAAGAGGGCAACAGATCCCCTGGAATGTTCTCAAGTGTAATGGATTCAGAAGTCCATTGTGGACCAGACCAGCCGCAGCCCAGCAAACAGTGGTCATGACAAGTTTGGCTTTGGGAGTCCTTTCGACTATCTTTTCAGTCAAGCCACTGAGATGGTCACCATCAGTTGTCCTGTCCTATCCTTTTTTTTTTTTTTTTTTTTTGGCTGGTGTCACAATCCAACTGAGATATGGATGCTATTGCTGGGCACAATGAGAGAAATTAACAGTTCAAACAAGAACTTCCTTGACTGTTTGCAGAGGGTCAGCTTCAGTGATTGCCCTCAACCAGCCATTGCCTTGTCTCCTTGAACCATTCTTGCAGTGGACATTCATAACAAGGTCCCAGGCCAAGTGCATTGTCTCTGCTGCTTTAAGACCTATTGTGGATTCAAATAAACATCACTCAGAGGGATGGAGAGGCGGATCAGTGGTTAAGGTCACTGGCTTCTCTTGCCAAAGGCTTTCGTTCAGTTCCCAGCCCTCAAATGGTCATCCACCCCCATGTGGCCATCCACATTGGTGTCACTCCAGTTCCAGGGAATCTGATGCCCTCGTCTGGTCTCCACAGGCCCACACACACAATCATACATATAAAATGAAATAAATTTTTTCCAAAAAGAAAATGGCTATAATTTGTCTTGTAACTAATATCAATTCTGTAGTATACAATAAACATCAAACAATAAGTCACCATCAAGCATGTAAATCAAGAAATATGCATCAAAATGGTATATAGCACATCCTTATTTTTTAAGAACACATTCCAATGTCAAACAGCAGATTTCAACAATGCAACAATCTCAATTTACCAACCTAAATATGAATGTCTAAATCATCGGAGGCATCCTGGATTTCAATCACACAGTCTTCTGAAATGTCAAGGAGAGGTTCACAGAGGGGTTTTCAAACCAGACTCCGAGAGTAACACTATGTTTACCCCACAGTTCGTGCGAGAACACATCATCCATATGCCGCAAGAAGATTACATCACCTGGCTACAGAGCCGGGTCAGCATGCCCATCCGGCAGCAGACTACCCAGGCATAGTGGGGGCCAGTCCCAGTGGAAGAGGGCAAACCAGCACCGTGTTTCTGAGTCCAGCGTGGTCCTCCCCTCTCCTCCCTTACATGGTTCCCTGTCTCTGCTCACTGTTGAACCCTGACTCTGCCTACTCTTCCAGAATCCCTCACCACACCCCTTTCCTAAAAATCCTATATAATAAAATTGAGTTGGATATTTAACATCTGCCCAAGAAAGAGTTCAAGCTATGGCAATTGGGTGTGGCAGTCAGATCTTAGAAGAACAAGTTATCACTTGCTTAGCTTTTGTATTGACAGCCCAGTGCTGGGCACTTTGCCTGTATCATATAATTATTTACATTAGTATATAATATAACTTTGCTGGGTTAATACTAATGATATACCTATTCCATACCATTGGAGTCAGAGTGTGGTTTTCTTTTTTTTTTTTAATTGAAACAAGATTGCTTCACATGTCAATCCCAGCTCCCTCTCCTAGTCCCCCTCCCAATCCCCACTCCGATCCCCAGGGAGGGTGAGGCCCTCCATGGGGGATCTCCAGAGTCAGTCATTTCATTCTGGGTAGGGCCTAGGCCCTCCCCCTAGAGTCCAGGTTGAGATAGCATCCCTCACTGTGGGATGGGCACCCAAAGTCCATTTGTATGCCAGGGATAAATACTACTCGAGGCTCCATAGACTGCCTAAAATCCATATATGAGTGAGTACATACCATGTTTCTCTTTTTGTGACTGGGTTACCTCACTCAGGATGGTTTCTTCTAGTGTCATTCATTTGCCTGTGAATTTCAAGATTCAATGGGGTTTTTTTCTGCTGAGTAGTACTCCATTGTGTAAATGTACCACATTTTCTCTATTCACTCCTCAGTTGAGAGGCATCTAGGATGCTTCCAGGTCCTGGCTATTACAAATAATGCTGCTATAAATACAGTATAACAGACTTCTTTGTTGTATGAATGTGCATCTTTTGGGTATATGTCAAAGAGAGAATTGCTGGGCCTTGTGGTAGACTGATTCCCATTTTCCTGAGGAATCTCCATACTGATTTCCAAAGTGGCTGTACAAGTTGGCACTCCCACTAGCAGTGGAGGAGTGTTCCCCTTCCTCCACGTCCTTTCCAGCATAAACTGTCATTGGTGTTTTTGATTTTAGCCATTCTGACAGGAGCAAGATGGTATCTGAGTTGTTTTGATTTGCATTTCCCGGATGGCTAATGATGTTGAGCACTTTCTTAAGTGTCTCTCAGCCATTTTAGACTCCTCTATTGAGAATTCTCTATTTAGTTCTGTACTTTTTAATTGGATTATTTGATGTTTTGGAGGCTTGCTTCTTGAGTTCTTTTTAAATTTGGGAGATCAGGCGTTTGTCAGATGTGGGGTTGGTGAATATCTTTTCCCAATCTGTGGGTTGCCTTTTTATCTTGCTGACTGTGTCCTTTGCCTTACAGAAGCTTCTCAGTTTCAGGAGGTCCCATTTATTAATTGTCGATCTTAATGTCTGTGCTACTGGAGTTATGCTCAAGAAGGGATCTCCTATACCAATTCCTTCAAGGGTACTTCCCACTTTCTCTTCTAAGAGGTTCAGTGTGACTGGATCTATGTTGAGGTCTTTGATCCATTTGGACTTAAGTTTTGTGCATGGCGATAGACATGGATCTATCTGCAGTCTTCTACATGTCAGCCTCCAGTTATACCAGCACCATTTGTTAAAGATATTTTTGTCCCATTGTATAATTTTAGCTTCTTTGTCAAAGATCAGGTGTTCATATGTGTATGGGTTAATATCAGGGTTAATATCAATTCCATTGGTCTACCTGTCTATTTTTGTGCCAGTATCAACCTGTTTTCAGGACTATGGCTCTGTAATAGAGCTTGAAGTAAGGGATGGTGATGCCTTCAGACGTTGCCTTGTTGAACAGGGTTGTTTTGGCAATCCTGGGTCTTTTGTTTTTTTTCCATATAAAGTTAAGAATTGTTCTTTCAAGGTCTGTGAAGAATTATATTGGGATTTTAATGGGGATTGCGTTAAATCTGTGATTACTTTCGGCAAGATTGCCATTTTTACTATGTTGATCCTACCTATCCAAGAGCATGGGAGATCTTTCCATTTTGTCTTCTTTAATTTCTTTCTTTAAAGACTCAAAGTTCTTGTGACACAAGTCTTTCACTTGTTTGGTTAGCATTACCCCAAGGTATTTTATGTTGCTTATGGCTATTGTAAAGGGTGATATTTCTCTGATTTCTTTCTCAGCCCTTTTGTCATCTGTATATAGTAGAGTTACTGATTTTCTTGAGTTGATCTTGTATCCTGCCGCATTGCTGAAGGTGTTTATCAGCTGTAGGAGTTCCCTGGTAGATTTTTTGGTCACTTGGGTAAACTATCATATCATCTGCAAATAGTGAAAGCTTGACATCTTCCTTTCCCATTTGTATCCCCTTGATCTCCTTTTGTTGTCTTATTGCTCTAGCTAGAACTTCAAGGACAATATTGAAAAGGTATGGAGAAAATGGACACCCTTGTCTTGTTCCTGATTTTAGAGGAATCGCGTTGAGTTTCTGTCCATTTAGTTTGAAGTTGGCCGTATATAGCTTTTATTATGTTTAGGTAAGTTCCTGTTATTCCGATCTCTCCAAGACCTTTATCATGAAGGGGTGTTGGATTTTGTCAACGGCTTTTTCAGCATCTAGTGGGGTGATCATGTGATTTTTGTTTCTCAGCTTGTTTATATGGTGGATTACATTGATGGATTTTCATATGCTGAACGATCCCTGCATCCCTGGGATGAAACCTACTTGATCATGGTGGATGAGTTTTCTGATGTGCTCTTGGATCCGATTTGCCAGGATTTTATTGAGTATTTTTGCATCAGTGTTCATGAGAGATATTGGTCTGAAGCTCTCTTTCTTAGTTGTGTCTTTGTGTGGTTTGGGTATCAAGGTTATTGAAGCCTCATAAAAAGAGTTTAGCAAAGACCTTCTGTTTCTATTGTGTGGAAAACTTTGAGAATTGGTATAAGCTGTTCTTTGAATTTCTGGTAGAATTCTGTATTGAAGCCATCTGGACCTGGGCTTTTTTTGGTTGGGGGACTTTTGATGACTGCTTTTATTTACTTAGGGGTTATAGGTCTATTTAAACTGCTTATCTGTTCTTGATTTAATTTTTGCAAGTGATATCTATCCAGAAAATTGTCCATTTCCTTTAAATTTTCAAATTTTGTGAAGTACAGGTTTTCAAAGTATGACTTGATTCTCTGGACTTCCTCATTTTCTGTTGTTATGTCCCCCTTTTCATTTCTGATTTTCTTAATTTGCATGTTCACATTCTGCCGTTTTGTGTGTTTGAATAAAGGTTTGTTTATCTTGTTGATTTTCTCAAAGAACCAACTCTTCCTTACATTGATTCTTTGTATTGGTTTCCTAGTTTCTATTTTATTGATTTCAGCCCTCGATTTGATTATTTCCTGGCGTCTACTCCTCCTGGTGAGTTTGCTTCTTTGTGTTCTAGGGCTTTCAGTTGTGCTGTTAATTCTCTAGTATGACTATTCTCCAGTTACTTCATGTGGGCACTTAGTGCTATGAACTTTCCTCTTAGCACTGCTTTCAAAGTGTCCCATAAGTTTGGGTATGTTGTGTCTTCATTCTCATTGAATTCTAGGAAGTCTTTAATTTTTTTTTATTTCTTCTCTGACCTATTCAATTTCCATGGGTTTGTAGGTTTTCTGCAACTTGTGTTGTTATTGAATTCTAACTTTAACGCATGGTGGTCTGATAAGGTACATGGAGTTATTTCAATTTTTTTGTACCTGTTGAGGTTTGATATGCTGCCAAGTATGTGATCCATTTTTGAGAAGGTTCCATGTGGTGTTGATAAGAAGGTATATTCTTTTGTGTTTGGATGGAATGTTCTATAGATGTCTGTTAAACCCAATTAAGTCATAACTTCTATTAGTTCCTTTGCTTCTTTGTTAAGTTTCTGTCTGGTGGTCCTGTCTAGTGGTGAGAGTGGAGTGTTGAAGTCTCCCACTATAAGTGACGTTTTATGTATGATTTGAGTTTTAGTAATGTTTCTTTTACAAATGTGGATGCCTTTTTATTTGGGGCATAGATGTTCAGAATTTATACTTCATCTTGGTGGATTTCTCCTGTGATGAGTATGAAATGACCACCTTCATCTCTTTTGATTGATTTTCGTTTAAAGTCTAATTTGTTAGATATTAGGTTTGCTACCCTCACTTGTTTCTTGAGTCCATTTGATTGGAAAATCTTTTCCCAACCCTTAACTCGGAGGTAATGACTGTCTTTGAAGTTGAGGTGTGTTTCTTGTATGCAGCAGAAAGATGAATTCTGTCTTTGAATCCATTCTGTTAGCCTGTGTCTTTTTATGGGCAAATTAAGACCATTAATATTGAAGGATATTAATGACCATTGATTGCACATTTTTGTTCGTTTTGGAGTTGTTGTTATTGGTGGAATTGTGTGTGGATTTTCACTCCTTTTTTCTTTTGGCTGTTGGTAAAGTGGGATTATCTATTGCCTGTGTTTTTCTGATTGTAGTTAACTTTCTTGGGTTGGAGTTTTCCTCCCAGAACTTTCTGTAGGGTTGGATTGGTGGATACATATTGTTTAAATCTGGTTTTGTCATGGAATATCTTGTTTTCTCCATCTATAGTGATTGAAAGCTTTTCTGGATATAGCAGTCTGGGCTGGCATCCATGGTCTCTTAGTGTTGGTAGAATATTTACCCATGACCTTCTGGCTTTCAGAGTTTCCATGGAGAAGTCAGGTGTAAGTCTGGTAGGTTTGCCTTTATATGTCACTTGACCTTTTTCCTTAGCTGCTTCTTAATATTCTTTCTTTATTCTGTATGTTTGTGGTCTTGACTATTATGTGCGAGGCATTTTTTTTTTGGTCTGGTCCACTCTATTTGGTGTTCTGTAAGCTTTTTGTACCTTCATTGGCATGTCTTTCTTTAGGTTGGGAAAGTTTTCTTCTATGATTTTGTTGAATATGTTTTCTGCCCCTTTAAGGTGGTTTTCTTCACCTTCTTCTATACCTATTCTTAGGTTTGGTCTTTTCATGGTGTCCCATATTTCCTAGATATTTTGTGTTAGGGATTTGTTGGACTTAAGATTTTCTTTGGTTAATGAATCTATTTCCCCTAGTGTATCTTCAGCACCTGAGATTCTCTCTTCCATCTTTTGTTCTG